TGAGATATATTCTCCCTCTGATGCGGCCTCAAGGGTCTGATTTGGGACCGTTTCTGTTTATTATCTTCATTAATGCTAATGCTATTAACTGGGAGAAAGTAATGTTCACAGATGATTAAAATCTAAATCGAAACGTATGTCTGATACATTTTGAAAAACAAGTTACTCAAAATGTTTTTTCTTATAGATGAAACGAGAAATTTTCAAAAGCTATATATTTATCAGTTTCTCAATATGTTGTTAAGTATATATATTGTTTAATTCAAATGTTTTTGATAATAAGTATACAATTTTGACTTCGATCTTTGTAGACATAGGTACCTACATCACTTTAACCATTGTGTAATTTTCTTATGATCATTGTCATCATAGCAGCCATCACAAAAACGATCACCTCTCACGATTAATGTGTTAGTTTTGTTTGTCCAGCTTTCAGATTCAAAGACCGAACTGAAACCCGTGATGGTTTTTATCCACGGGGGAGCGTTTCTAACGGGATCGAACAAACCCGACATGTACGGACCAGATTTCCTACTGACCCAAGACGTCGTTCTTGTGGTACCAAACTATCGCCTGGGTGCCTTGGGGTTCCTAAGTTCCGACGACGATACGCTAGGGGTGCCTGGGAACGCTGGGCTAAAGGACCAGCTCTTGGCCCTACAGTGGGTGCAGGAAAACATCAGAAACTTCAACGGCGACCCCAATAACGTGACGATTTTCGGAGAAAGCGCGGGGGGTTCTTCGGTGCATTACCTTGTGCTGTCTCCTAGGGCGAAGGGCTTATTTCACAGGGCGATATTGCAAAGTGGAACCACATTGAACTATTTCGCTGAGGGAAAGCAGGTGATGGTAGCCCTAGCAAAGGAGTTAGGTCAGGATGTGAGCAGTGACAAAGAGGCTTTGGATGTACTGAAAAAAGCGCCTGTAGAATTACTGTACGAGGCTCAAGGAAAGATTGAAGCGGTAAATATAATGAAGTATGTTAAATAAAAATTTTGTAATTGCATCCTTGTGTAGAGACTAATGGATATCAATGAGAGAAAAAAGAGAGTACTTTTATATAACGTGTATTTTTTTATTTATTTATTAAGTTTATAGCCAAGCCCTTTCGGCTGCCCAAGCTGCCCAAAACTGTGTAGAAGTATTGTACGTTTTCTCTTGTCGGGATTTTGTAGCTTGATGTAACTAGTAACAGGGTGACATGAAAAAAAGTGCAATGCATAACACCACATGATGGAGGACCTCAAAACATATACACTTATGTCTAAATGTCTTTTGTTTTCGAGATACACTTAAAGAAATTTTGGAAAATACTGATTTTTTTTTATTACTCCCGATTAAGTGGAGGGAATCTACTGACAATTAGTACATAATAGCATCTATAGGTTGCCAATCAATGGCTGAATTAGAGGGTTCACTATGCTTAAATCAAATTAAATTAATACGGCCTTGTAAAGATTACTATTTTAACATTTTGCGATAGGTAATATAATTCCTATTAAAAGTTCCTCACAATTTTTCAGCTCCACCACTGGTTGGCAACCTGTAGAGGATATTATATATCAATAGTCAGTACATTTCCTCCACTTAATCGGAAGTAATAAAAAAAAATTCCAAAATTTCTTTAACACTCTGTATCTCGAAAACAAAAGGAATTTAGACATACGTGTATAAGAACTTTTTATATGTTTTGAGGTTCTCTATAATGTGGTGCTATGCATTACGCTTTTTTCCATGTCACCCTGTATATATATTTTGTTATTTTTCAATATTATTTTTTATTTTATAATAACTTACAGGGTTAGCTCCAATCAGATAGAAAACGCGTTTAGCTATGAATATTAACAAATATAACGAAATTCTTACTATATAAAAGAACTCTTTTGTTTTTTTCGCTGAAATATAAGTCCGATATGATGTTTCCGGCTTATCTTTATTTTAAGATTACAATTTGAGACTGTCAATATGAGAAAAAAATGTTTATCAAGAAACATCCGAAAGATATGAAAAAATATCACATTTTCTGAACTATCTGGTGACAGTCAAATAGATGAAACAACACACGCAAGAAATTGGTGTTGGAAAATGGTGTTTAGATTTAGGCCCTGTTTGTTTGTGAAATAAAATATGCCATTTTGTTCAAATCCAATGTCTCTAAAAATTTATATATTTTGTCTTTTTTTCACCAGTTTCAAGTCGTAAAACACTAATATTTTTCACAAATACCCAATTTTTTATTATAAGAACTTTTCTGACATTATTTTGTCATGTGTCATAGGTACAGAAAGAGAGCTTTACTAACGATAAAAATTGAAATTAAACAATAAACCACAATAGACCTATAAAACTGACATTTGGCAATATTTTTTTTTCTATTGATAAATCCTGCATGATTATTTTATATTTAACATTTTTCCTTAATCTTTACTTAAACCTTACCGTTGTAAATACATTTAAGGTTGATGAAATTGAAAAGTAAATAGATCATACTATAGTAATTAACTATTAATCGTAATTATCTTTGTTATAAATTAATATCTATTACTTAGTACTAATTAATAACGAATCTTTTTAGGCAAGAAAACCGACAGACCAACTATATTTTGCTCCCGTTATCGAAAAACCCAGTAACACAGCTTTTATCACTGAAAAGCCCATCGACATAATCAGGTCTGGAAAGTACAATCAAGTTCCTTTAATGATCGGTTACACCTCAAGAGAAGGGCTGTTACTAGCGGCGGCTGAAGTCTTGGCAGCCTCAGCGGGATTACCAGCCAAAAAGGATCCCCCAAATTTGGAAGACGCCATTCCTTGGCATATAGGATTGGAGAGCGGAAGCGATATTAGCAAACAAGTGTGTGAAAAGTTAAAGAAAACTTATTTTCAAGGTCCGGATGTTGACGACAATAAGTACTTGGTAAGTAAGCAACCAGTTTATTCCCAAGCAACATTTTATGTTACTTTAATTATACAGTACAATATTAACGCTGGGTATTCTGCATGAAATATCCATGCTACAAAGTCCTATAATATTTTTTAGCGGAAGTAAATAGGTAAGTAGGTAAAATGATTTAAGTATTACGTATAAATATAAGTAACAGTCATATAAAAAAATTTTGGGTAAGAAGAACACTGTAAATTACCAGCAGCGAGTATGAAACATTTTACAACAATAACCACTTCACTTTAGTATAATTTAATTATCATGTTTAGAAATTATTTAAGCAATTGCTTGTCACAACAAGTGTCAATTACATAAAAAATTATATTGTACTAGTAACAATATTAAATATTTCGTAATTTAACAATATTACAATTTATTTACTTTTTAAGATGTCTACCGACTCTCTGTTCGTGGCAGCAATCATAGCAACAGCGAAAAATCACGTGGAAACATCGCGGTGTCCTGTTTACTTATACAGGATGTCCCTAGAGGCTGGACTAAATTTAATGAAGATTTACACAAAAATAACGAATCCAGGTAAACAACGAAATGCGAATTTATTATTTCTCATACAAATTATCATACTCTTCGAGATCATTAAAGAACAATTTAGAGAAAAATGTAGTAGGTAATTACTTTTAAGTGAAGAAATGTTATTCAATATGCTCCTTTTTCTTTAATCATCTCATTTAAAATAACAATTGTAAATATTTTAGGTGCATGTCACGTTGACGACTTAGGATACCTCTTCAAAAATGTGATTACTCCTCCATTCCAACCAGGTAGTATAGAGGATATATCAGTACGAAGGTTTGTGAAGCTGTGGACGAACTTTGCCAAGTACGGAAATCCTACGCCTGACGAAAAGGAACTTGGAATAACATGGAAACCAGCGGAAAAAGGACAACTTCATTTTATCGACATTGGAAATGAACTGACCAATGAGGTTGATCCTGAATCAGAGAGGATGCAGCTGTGGAAGGAAATCTTCCAACTAAACCCAAACACTGCCAATTTTTTATAGAACAACTCAGTGTTTATATTTGGTTACTAAAACTGTTTTTTTTTTAAATTTTTTTATTAAATATATGTATTTTTAGTATACATTGTGCAATATCGTCAACGCACAAAAACGTGTTTCTCGAAACAACGAACATTCAATTTATTTTCCAACGACTACTTAATCCTTCCACCTCTAATGTGATTTTGAAAATTTCTCTAATAAAAGTTTTTTTAGAAAAAAGAGAGCTTTTTAACAGGAAAAAAATTTGGGTATGTTTCTGGAAAAAATATAATTGATGACGTCGAGTAAACTCCTTATGATTTTTCAAGAAAAAAGTAGCACACACTGTTTTATTTTATTTGATGGTTTGAGCAGTTACACAAAAAATTCCTTTTGTTAATTTTTGATATGATGAACATTTGTTGACAAATTTTATAGAACGCATATCACATTGAAAAATAACTTACTTCTATTTTAAAAAAGTGTGCTAGGAAAACAATTGTAGATTTGGCAGATAACTTGATAGTTACGATAGTCTCAGAATTATGTGCAATATTTCCTAAAAGTACATCTTCATAGTACAATTATGTTGTTGTAAGTTCAATCTTAGAATATCCTGAAATTCCTAAATAACATGATGCATGGGTCTGTTTGGTATGAAACAGACGCTTCATCGTAAGCTAACAACAAAGTATTCACTGTTTGTAAAGTGTAATATGATGCACAATCACAACTGTTAATACTGCGTGGTACTTCTTACGCTTGACAGGAAGTCTAGTAAAAAACTTAAATATAAACATTAAGATTTCAAAAGAAATTATTAGACACAATTTGTTGCTTTTGATGATTTAAATGTGTGGTTAAAATTTTGACACTGGGACACCGTGTACTATCGAAGATATTACTCGTACATTAATAAATGGAAATCTTAAGTAAATAAATCATTTGTCGTTATGCTGTAAGAAACTATTTGGGTACAAATGCGATGTTCAAGCGTGTGTATCTACTTATATTAGTTGTAACAAATTGTTACAACGCAAATAAAACACAACGTTGGATTTGATTTATGTATTTGGCACGTACATGACTTAGCAGGTCCACTTAAAAATAAGTAATACAGTTCCGCTCCTCATGGTTTATTTTTAGCTTAAACAATTAAACGTGGTTAAAAGCGCTCGAAGTCTCATATTGGAGCATAAATTGTTGGCACAGTGACAGGGTAAACTTAAAATAAAGCATTATCACTGTTTTCTAATTACGAGTTTAATTAGGTAGGTACGTAGTTAGCCGATCATCATCGCTTTGAATTCTGCAAGCAAAGAAATTTCGGGTTGTACGGGTTGAAAAGTTTTAACAATAGTTTCAGTGTTAAATCTAGGGCATCGCATTTAAGAAGATTCTACAGATAATACAAAAAAAAACTATTTCAAACAATAGTTGCACAAGATCAAATTCTCTGCATTTTTAAATTAAAATTTTTAATTGTACAGGGCGGCTCATTTCTTCTGGGAGTTACTAACAAATTTTTTAAATAGAATTGCATTTTTGAATTTTACGCTAGATGTAAGGTCTTTGACAAACAGAATGGATTTAAAACGTTTCATTATGATTATTTGACTTTTTTTAAAGTTATATTATATATAGATTAATCTGTTTCCCAAAAATTGTATTTATACAGGGTGATTCAAAATTCAGTACGAATAATTTAGAGGCGTATTTTTTAGGTCAAAATAAGACGGCAAAAAAAAAGATAAGGTGTATTAGTGTATATTTCTTATAATTTGGGGGATATTAAATCTTTTGTATATATTTTGACGCTATTTCCTTGTTAAAAAAATGGATTTCATACAATACTGAATTTTTTTAAATTAAAATAGGTTGAAAAAATGATATTTCTGTAACTCCTAACGTCAAAATGACTTTTGAAAAGTTTACTGTCAAAAAAACTATAATTTTTATGAATATATGATCATATTAAGACAGCTCATGCTGAAAATGCAAACTAATAATAAAATAGTTGATAAAATGTACATATTGTATATTATTAGAAAAACACTAAAGATCTACAATAATAATTATTTAAAACATTTACCATTTTGCTGACGACATAGTTTCCTGAAATTCTCATCAACATTATCAAGAATATGAGAGCTTGCATGTCTTGTTTTGTCGCGGGAGACACAGAATACATTTTATTTGTAATAATTGTCGCAAGAGGAAATCATATTTCTACTCTCTATTATAAAGAAACTGATGAAACAGTCCAAAATAAAATGTGAAAACAAAAGTATCTCTCTGTAGTAGCTGATTTTACTTGATTAGTTTTTGTCAAGGGTAATAATAGAGCAGCAAGAATGCAGGATATTTCTTCGAATTATCTAACAATTTCAATGTATCAGGTATTGTTTTTGTATTAATTATATTTAGATATAATAATTAACCCATCATTTCTATTTGTTTGGAAATTATTGCTATAAAATATTATTTTTGAGTACTATTTTGTATTGGAAACATTGGAAATTATGGAAAATAAACTGGAAAATAGACCATAAACACTAATAAAATAAAATGAAATTTTTTACTTGATTGCCTGAAATTTAACATATAGTTAAAAAAATCAAGTTACCCATGATCTAAAACTTGGATCTAACGCGCATAATCACTGCTTTTTCGTATACAATCGTCGTTATAGAACCCAATTTGTTTAGCATCAAATAACACCCATAAAAGTACGTTTTAGACGCAATAAGTGTTCATCAAAGTGGACCTTAAATTCAGAAAGGAGTTTAAAAATACAATAGTGTGTTCAATTTGAAAAAATGAGGTTAGGTAAAGCCTAGAAGAAATCAGTCACCCTGTACGCAATTTTAAAAAGTGCAGAATTTATTTTAAATGCGACGCACTGTTCATTAAAATGAATAACCTAATATTCATTATCCCTTGTGGATTAACAACTAAAATATAAATATAACTATTAGGTTATACATATGAAAACTAAGCTATTGTATTCATTATTTACAAATATAAAAAGGTTTTTAGCACTTTTAGTAATACGGTCTTATGAAAACTAAGTCATCACTCGTATAATTATTATTTACAAATATTAGAATGGAAGTAAAACTCCTAGCAATATTGTCAAGAACCAAAATCTTTAAAATAGTGTATGTGTGTGCTGTTAGCAAAAGAAAAAATATTTAATGCATTTATTTAGTACATGTTAACTATTTTAAATTTATGAATAGTTGGATCACTGTGGTCTGAGAGGACAGTTATCGAAAATTAATATCTAGAGTTAGTTGCCAACTCCAAAGCTCGACAAAACAAAAACATCCAATTTACCTTCCCAGTCAACCGTCCCAGAATTGTCAGTATCAATTTCTTTGATCATCTCATTCAGATCTGAAGGTTTTAACGTTGGTTCCAGTTCCTTTAATATGTCCCTCAGTAAATCGACACCTATGTAGCCTAGTCCGTCTTTGTCGTATAACCTAAAAGCGTCCTTTAATTCTCTAAGAATGGCTTCGGTGTCTTCCTCTTCCTCCACTAAGAACCTAGCGGACAGGTTAGCGAATTCCTCGAAATTCATTACCCCGTTGCCATCTTCGTCAATTTCCCTGACGATTCCCTAAAGCATACGTTTCTGGTACAAAAAAATCACTTGAAAATTGTTTACAATTACAAACCTGAAGTTCCTCTCCTGTTAGCTGGTGTCCTAACATGTCGAGAATTTGTCCAATCATATCAACATTTATCTCTCCCCTTTTCTCCAGATCGAAGGAGTCGAAGATTTGTTTCAACACTACAAAATACAAGCAATTGGATTATGTAAGCTGAGTTCAGTCGCCAGATCTGAATCAAACCTTTAGGTATATGGAAAATTGTGATTGTATAATTAAATAGGGCATACACATAGAGTTCTATCAGCAGATTTAGGACTATCACGGTTAAAAACTTTGTAATAAATGAAAAAATGACGTAGTGATAAACCTTTTGACTTGCTAAAAGATCACGGGTTTGATAAACGTAGGAAAAAACGTCAGTTTCAATTCACTATCACTAATTTTTAAGCTTTAAGGACCACCAGATACTATAATCGTGTGTTAATACGAATCAAACTCGAACATTTTTCTGTATGCTGTTATGTCATTAACTTCGATTCATCTTGCAATAAAAATTCTAAAATAGGTACTCACTTTTAAGCTGCTCTTTGGATATATCCAACTTTTTATATGCCTCATAATCAAGATCGTCCTTCTCGTCTTCTTCCTTTTTCTGCGCTTTCTTAATTTTTCCAATCTAAAACGCATTTCGTTTAAATTGATTGCGTACCAGAAAGTATAAAATTAATCAATAAGACCCAATAATGATAAAGGGAAAGAATAAAATAAATAAAATGTATAGAATAGACAGAAAGTACTTACTCCAGCCATTATTTCAATTAAATTACAGACAGTCAGAAGCCACTGGGTGGTGGTTAGAGACTAAAACTTTTATAGATGTAGTGTCAATGAGATTTCAGTTTGGTGGCACATAAATTAGTGAGGGAAAATTCTTGACAAACATACACTGTTTGTTTACGATTATTTTTTACACATGAAGGACGAGCCAATGACAACACTATTAAAATACCATTAATCGATTTTCTTTTAATTAAACTGTTACTATATTTAAATTTTCTAGCACAGCTAACGCTTCTGTGCGGAAAATACGGGGATAATTGATCATCGTTTACGAGCATATTTAAAAAATTAACTTAACATATTAAAACACATTTAACTGGTTAGGTGTAGGTTTTTTATTGAAAAATGGTGAAAAACCTTAAACATTCTACAAGGGGCTATACATGATGTGTCTGATTTAAAAATTAACCGATCATTACAGCTTTGAACTCTAAAAAAATTATTATGTTAGTAGTGCTACAATCTATCGGTTTTAGTGACGCCTTACCTTCCCAATCAACAGTACCAGATCCGTCAGTGTCAATTTCATCAACCATGTTGTCCAAATCGTCTTCAGATAATTTCTCATCCAATTCCCTCAGGATTTCCCTCAACACCTCAATTGTAATAAAACCATTGCCTAAAAAAATATTAAAACATTGTTTTTTCCATGATAAAACGTTAGCGTAATTTTTTAAATACCATCACGGTCGTACAATCGAAATGCACCCTTCAGTTCCATTTGTATGGCCTCAGTGTCTTCATCCTCTTCCTCCACCAAGAACCTGGCAGCCAAATTTGCAAATTCCTCAAAGCTGACTTCCCCATTACCATCCTCGTCAATTTCAGAAACAATGGTCTGAAAGAATTAGTTCTGTTTCATAAATTGTTAAATTTGTTTCGGTTAACTGACGTCTAGTTCCTCTGCCATCACATGGGTTCCTAGCATGTCCATGATGGTACCAATCATGTCAGCTTCTATGTAACCTTTTCTGTCGACGTCAAAGGCATCAAAGGTTGACTTGAGCACTTGAAATCATGTATAAGAAGGTTTTTTAATTCGCAATCCTCTATACTTACTAGAAATTTGTTCCTTGTCCAGATCTTCCTGAAAATGTTACGAAAAGTGGAAGTTATTCAAAGTTCATGACTCTTATTTGAGTTAAGGGAACCTTCTGTTAATTCTGAGGTAAAAATCAATATCAAAAATGTTCCCTGTCTTGTTTCTTTTTATTTGGAGAGAATTTTTCCTGACACCAAATACATACACAGTGTTAGAATACCAAAATGATGTTAAAGAAGGTATAACCATTTTCTGCTCTAGGCAGGTGTACTTTCGAATTTCATGAGCAAAAAAACTATGCAAATTTTACTGTCATTGCACAAAAATAATCTCACATTACAATTAGTAGGTACATCGTAGTAGGTACATAACTTTAAACAGTTATTAAAGTGACGAAGTGTTAAGGTAGGTCAGGAACTAGATTAAAAAATAAAACCCATATATATTTTTTGAAGTGACAAGGTATCAGTTGAAAACATTACACAACGAGTACAACCAAACTTACCATGTTTGCAGCGGCCCTAATGTCACTGGAGGTGCTAATGATACACTACCGAATATATGCCGTCTTGGCTTGACAAGGAGGGGAAGTTAACTGGGAAGTACGAAAAATAGAATCATTTCTATTTTCATTATAATTCTTTTCTTTCATTGCTAAAATTGTAAAGGTACATTCGGCTTAAGAATTCTAGGATGCGATTTCTTTGAGAATGAGTTAATGTTATTGCCAGGCTTATATTTTCAGTTATAATCAATAAAATGATCTGATTCATTAGTTTCCTTTATAAGAGTTAGATCTAATTAAATATAATGCCATATTATTTTTAAGGAAATATTTAATATTTTATCGTGACAGTTAAAATAAAGCTAGTCAACATTTTTTAAAAGAATATTTATTTCTAATTACAAGTACAAGACAAATACATTTTTTATATATTTATTTAATCATCACCTCCTGTCATAACTTCCATAAATTCTGAAATGGAAATACTATCTCATGATTCACATTAAAGTATTAAATAAAAATTAAATAAATTTCAATTACTGGAATTAAATACACAGCAAGGGGAAATAGTCCAGTTGCTAGAGGTTTGAAAATATTTAGGAATATGACATGAAGAAATCATTATAAATCTATTTTCATTCAATATTTTCAAAAGTTTAAGAAACAGACGAAAAAAGAGGCAGGAATGGAAACACCCGTAATACAGATTTATCGGAGAAGAATACAGTATCAATACTGTAGCGAATTGTAGTACAGATCCTGCTTTTTCCATTTATTGTACTGGGTTTCTACCTGGATATTTGAGCAATTTTGAAACTAAGACAGAAAATGTGTCGCGCAAATTATAAATTATCTGACACTGTAATTGATAAAGTCAAAAACGTTAGCATACAAGTCTGTGGAAAAATATTTAAATTTTAATATCTATATTCTATTATAGTTTTTCCATGAAAACAAGTGTGGTGACGAGATTTCATATGCAAAGCATCCCAATAGTGACGAAGTTAAGTTATCATAGATCTAGTGGATCTAGTGCATATTTTGTGAATTATATTTAAAAAACATTCCAGGTACTACAACATTGACTAGTGCGATTGGAGTAAAAAAGTTATAAAGCGAACATTCTTACCATCAAAATCAACAGTTCCTGACCCATCGGAATCAATTTCAGCTATCATCATGTCAAGTTCATCATTTGTTAGCTTGTCGTCCAATTCCTTAAGAATTTCCTTAAGCGTTTTTGTCGTGATATAACCATTACCTGTTTACAAAAATGTTGTGACATGAGAAACAGCTAAATCTTACATTGACGAAATAGATCATTTTTAAATGTATTTGTTGATTGAAAGAACAATTCATGACATTGTTGATTGCTATGTTAGTGATAGACTGGACCTAATTAGATCAATGACTTTTTTTCACCTTTCTAATGGTAGAAAAAGCCAAATTTACTTTGGTAGAGCCAAAACACTGGTTTTTTACTTTTTAAAATTTATTTGAAAAGTCAAAATTTAACTTTTATCATGCGAGTTTTAGATATTTTCTGAAAAAATTACCTTCTTTGTCGTACAATCGGAAAGCTTCCTTGAGTTCCTGTTGCATAGCCTCAGCATCTTCCTCTACCATAAATCTAGAAGCCAGAGTAATGAACTCTTCGAACTCCAGTTCACCAGAACCTAAAAGAACCAAACAAATGTGTGATTCAATTTAACAGCAATCGCACAGTGGTACCATCTTCATCTACTTCATTGATGATATCTTTGAGCATTTGGTCCGTCGTTTGAATTCCTAACATGCTAAGGATTGTACCGATCATAACAGTACCAATACTGCCCTTCTTCTCAACATCGAATGTATCGAAGGCGTTTTTCAAAACTGCAAGAAATTATATGGATAATTTTGTGTAACATTTAAAAAAATGGAAGCTTACGAGCGATTTGTTCTTTGCTTAACTCGTCCTGCAATAAAAAAGTTTTAAAATAATTGTTAGGGGATATAAAAAATTTGGACAAATTGGTGGTTTTCAAAAACTTACTTACCGACGACATTTTGCCACTGCTATTAGGTCACTGTCACTAATGAAATCCAGAATGTAATGAGAATTTTTAAGTTTGTGCCACAACTATTTAAAAGTTTGGCATTCTCGAAATAGAGTAGCAAATTATTTCATGGGTTTTTTAATTTTTACAATCCACCTGTTAATTTGCATTATACAGGGGCGTAATCTGTACATTTCTCAATAAAATTTGCAATCGTTTGTAAAAAAGGAGTTCATTGTAAAGTATGTCATAGAATTCAGGTTTTACTAAACAAGCAGTGGTACATACAATCATAAAATACAGAATGTCCTACAGTGACGAGACATTAGACATATTTCAAAGACTACTTCGAGTTTAATTTTGAAAATTAAGGGAATAGTGTTTTCGGGTATGCCCTTCTCAAGTAAAATAATTGCGTCCACCTAACGCTTCCGGTTTTACCAGAAGTTAACGTCATCTTCGTTATTTTAAATGGAACACCCTGTATATTATTGCAATTTTGAATTCTACGTCAATTTTTAGATGAAGTTTCATACAGGTTTCCTACCCTTAAAGTTAACCGTTTTTGATATATTTAATTTTTTTCAAAAAAATAAATAAAAGAGCACTGCCAAATTAAAAAAGATGTGTATTTTACAATAATAAAGTTAGAGCGATAAAATTCATAGGGACGCAACTAAAACTCTAAGCTTACCTGCTATAATTTCAAAACGACTTAATTTCATACAGGGTGGTAGAAATTTGATGTCGAATTTGGCCAACTTTAAACCATCTTAACTTATTTTTTTTAAATGGATCACCCTGTATATTTTTGCGCAACCTGATGAACAATTTTGTTCTCTTTCGAATGGTATAATGGTACCCTATACCTATCTCTTCTGGTTTTTAAGGTATTTACTGTTTTTCGTGCTGTCAACGGATACCGCATAATTTCTTGCGATGGCTGTGAAATTTTTAGTGGAACTTCAAAACAAGCGCCTAATCTATCACCAGTTTATTGTTGTCAATTTAAATACAGTGAGTGAGTATTATTTATTGTTAAAGAATGGCAAACGTTAACATTTGTTCAAATGCTGACATTCTAAATTTATTATTTATTCATGGAGAGAAATTTTTCTGAGCCCATGTGAAGTTTTGAAGAAAAAAATTGTAAAACTTTTTTACTTTGCATTATCTCTTTTGATTGCGCCGAAAGTAATGTTCAAAAAATTTTTCATCACAAGATTTCAAAACTAGAAACTTCAAGCTTCAAGATGCTTCTTTTTTTTCTCGATACGACTCGAAATTTTTTTGCTGAGGTTACAGTTATGGTGAGGAAAAAGACATAATTACAACAGAATTTAGAAGGAAGAAAAAACCACTTGGTGCCGAGAGAAAATTTTATCTCTGGCCAAGTCGATCAAAAAATGGCTCTTGGTTTTGTTTATCGACTTTTAAGTTTAATGTAACATTTGCAACTCTACTCAGATATATTGTTTTGAGAAATGTAATCTACATGGTGCTCCAGAAAGCGGTGGTAATATAGTAACCAAGACGTCTGAGATAAGAACAATTTATCTGACTCCAAAAATACTTCGTTTAAAAGGATGTTAAGCGAAATATTTTTGGACAAAACTAGGTTGATTAAAATTGAGTTATCCTGACCACAGAAATCAGTTCCTGAATGAATGAAATTCTGAAGCAATTGCTGGGAAATTTTCTATGGGGAATAAATTCCAAGTTTTTATGTATTTATTTATTTCAGGAAGAAAGTTTTCCGTCGTCTTAAAACTATCCGAGTTCGGTCCTGGTACAAAAGTCTCGTATACATAATGAGTGACTCAGTATACCTCGACAGTGGCTGCATAGAGCAGTCAGTCACATGGACGTTCCCGGTAAATCTTATACCCGGTTTCCGTTTCTGGACCTTCTCCAAATATATAACCAATCCGATTAAATGCTTATTTAAAATTTTAAACCACTGTAAAGCGAATGCTAGCTATGCTGATACGGCAGCCTTTGTATTTAGGTCTTGACACATTGCGTATTCCGACGGTATTGTCCTTGAATTACGAGTATTTTGGTGGCCAGTTTTTTTTTCGTATAACTGCGTTGGTACAGTCCGAGATACTATTCTGTATGAAGTTACAACAAATGATAACTCACAATCAAATTCTTAGTTATTGGTTTGAAACAAGAAATTTGATGATTTAAGAATAATTTGAAGGAAACTCTTACAATGTTGAACATGCTTTTGATAAAATATGTAGACAAATGGCATTTAGGTATTATCTTATTCATAAATATATTTTAACAGAAGCATTGGCTTCCAATGTCGTAGTCTCACGAAAGAATTCACGATTGATAAAAAGTTAAAAACACAGGGATAAAAAGTTTCGATATTATTATCAACTGCTGTTGTCTAGTTTGCACGAGCGCCACAAAGTTAGGAAAAATTCTTTTTTATTTGATTTTCTTCAATATTTCAGTTGGAGCACTTTAAGTTTTTTTGTTGAAAAAATAATTTTGTAATCAACAAAAAAATAGTACAAATCGATGTTTTTCTTAAATTTGTTGTCAATTTTCATGAAACTTTCGAAAAATAATCCTCAATTCTAAAAAAAATTTTTGACACATTTTCCCAAAAGTAATGCATTTTATTGAAATTTGGTACAATTAAATTTTTGGGGATACTTGACATTTTTGAGATTAGTGTTTTATAATCTAAAATTTCGTTATATACAAATAAAGGTACTTAGCATAATTTTGCTTGCGTAAAAAGTAAAGTTAAAGAAAATCATTTTATTTTGACCTAAAAACCTTGAAATATATCCCATTCGCTTGCGGTTACTCTGTATATTTAGGTCTAAAGCTGGTTGACATTGGGAATTGAGTTTTTCTCAAAAAACAGAGCATTTTCAGTTATTTTAACAAAAATACCTTGTTCGTGCAAAAAAATCACATTGTAATATAAGAATACACTATAAAAAACATAACCTCAAAAAAGTTATAAAAAGTCACAGAGAAATGATAGTAACTGATGCCATCTAGCACAAAACAAAACCTAATACACTGACGTAATAGGAACGCTCAAAAACTTACCTGTACTAAATTTCAGTTCAATACATTAATTTTTGGAAAAGATTTAGTCAAAATTTGATTTTAAAAGAACATCTTTGGCGCTCTGTCTCAAAACCAAACGACTTTTTCTCTATGGTCCATAGGAAAAATAGTCTTATTTTTTATTTCCTTTCACCCTCTAAATTTTTTACATATTTTTCCGCAGCACCCTGTATAATTATAGGTTAGTTACCACTAGAAAAAAAAAACAGTTCTGTTATTTAAGAAAATATATATTTACACATTCAATAGTCTCATGCACATTGTGAAAATTAAATAAAGATGAACCACAGAAAAATACTCGATATTGTAGAGGAATACATAGAAAAGTTCCTACATTATTATTTATTCTTCAAAATTTGGAATGAATCCGTGTCAGTCCATAGTTTGCAATCAAAAACTGTTGTATACTAGTAATGTCAACAGATATTTATAAATATAACGCGAGCAAACTTAACTTTGCTATACAGGGTGTAACAGAAATGTTGCAATTAATTTTAGTGTCGATTCCTTTCGTTAAAACAAAAAAAGAAACAAGAAATATTTTATCTAAAATAATTTTTAATTACTCTGTAATTCTTCAGAGACAGTTTTTGATTAATTGCTGAAGAAACATTGAAGATATGAGATAAGTTATTAGCGGAGTGCCACAAGGATCTGTTCTGGGTCCCATTTTATACGATTTATACTTGAAACGTTGAAAAAGTACTGTTTCATTGCAAATCGCATTTAACACACAACTATATCACAAGCTAATCAGAGAATCATCAATGATTTAAACATTTCAAATAAACTTTGCATCTTTTAAATCCAAAATCATGATCGATCATCCTAATCAACTTCAACCAGTTGAGGTTCTGAAAATTTTAGGTTTAACTATTGAACGAAATTTATTTGGTTGTCTGGAACTTTTCAAATAGAGGATCACTTAGCAAAAAAAATAGAATTTATAATGCAAGGCTTTGGTGTCATCACATATAAGTTACTGCAATTCAATCTATTATAAAATTAAAAAAAAATTAATACTAAGTGACGTTCACGAAAATTTAGAATACCTGTGCTAGGTCGATGTGTAATGTTCTTAGGAGCTAACATATTTCTCCTATTGGTGAAGAAATTGGTTGTTCGAAAATTTTACAACCACAATTTCTCCACCTAAATTTTTTAAAATGTCTTTATGAAAAAAATTGAGATAGAACTTATGTACACAATATTAACATAAGCTATAAAAATATGTTATCCATGCCAGTACATAGAACTTCTTTGTTTCAGTGGTGTTTTATTTATCAGACAACAAAATATAATAAAGTCCAACAGTTCTTAATTTAGTTTTGCAAAGTTTGAGTGGAAGTGAAGGTTATAAACTGAACTCTGCCTTTTTGCAATGTTTTCAATGTAATTTGTTTATTTTGTAGATAGACTAATATATATTTCAAGTAAATTAATTTTATAGACTTCAAATTTGGTATAGTACATTACCATCATAGCAGCTACTGTAAGAGAAAAAATTAAGCATTCAGATTTACTGCTTTTGACAGTTGAAACTTCTCTGATTTTGACACTACTTGTCAGTGTTTATTCAAATTTTGTTTGGAGACAGCTATTAGTACCAAACCAAATCAAAAATTTCAATTTTTTACCCTTAATGACTCTTAAGAAATTGAACTATGATACTTTGTCCTACACGTAACCTCTAGAATTTTTCTATCGAAAATTATTACACTTATTTCTTTATTGTTTGTTCTGATGAGAGGAATCGTCCCTGAAATTTCTCGCAACCTCACTCTTGCACTCTATATATTAACAATAAAACAAGTAAAACAAATCTCATAAGTGAGTTGATGTTCTGTACAAACACATCTAATTACTAGTTTCTATAAATCATAGACTGGCGACTACTGCATGGTCTCTCAGAGGGATGGTTTGGTGGTAGTGGCGGTGGTTCATACACTTCACTGCCTACAGATCGTCTGGGAAGGAAACCAGTGTAGCTACTCCTGGAATGCCTTGACGTAGTTCCGTGGAAATCCTGATAAAACTTCTCCGTAATGGTGTTCAATGGTCGGAACCTCCTCTCGTTTATCCTCTCGTACATCTTATGTCTAGGTGTCAAATACCCCTCGCTGTTGGTGTAAATCGATGGAGGAACATACCTTTGTTTTTCGTAGTTTGGCATCACCAGGGCGTCTGCCGACTTGTTCCTTACTATCACAACTCTCTTGTTACCTTTTATGAGCTTTGGGTTCTGCCTTATGGTGTAGAACATTATAACGGAAGTCACTATGATTATGGCCAATGTGACACCTAAGACGCCTCCTATGACTGCGGGCATATACTTATTGATGATCCAAGGGGAGTATTCCCATTCCAAAGGGACCGTAAGCGACGTGCAATCAAAAGGAGTCACCATATCCGCGAATTCTTTCAGAAGACATATAGTGTAAGTCGTTCCATAGTGTAGACTGTTCAGCACCACTGTTTCTTGGATGTTGCTCACGCAACCATAATCGCTAGAGTTTTTGCTGTTGATCCATATTAGATAGTCGTTTCCTACGTTGTTCAGCAGCTTTATTTCGAAGTTGGGAGTTTGTTGGATCTGGAAGAAATTGTAAGTGATCGTACCGTTTCTTACTTGAACTGTATGGCTGTAGATCCTGTTTAGACCATTGAGTTCTTCTTGATAGTTGGTGAGATTGGTACAGTTTAAATACACGAATTCACTGGGTCTCTCTGTTGACGGTTCCAACGTCGGTACCGTTTCTGTAGCTGATGAAGTTACTGCTGTTGGATCTGAAGTTACGGGACTGGGACAAAATTCAACTTCTAAGTAGTCGCCTTCTGTACAAGTAAAAGATATGTTACCGTCCTGGAAGTACTGTATAATGTTTTTGATGTAAAAATTTTTAAACCAAAGTAAATCGCAGTCGCATTGCCAAAAATTGCCCTGTATATCTATTGTCCCGTTCGACCACCCGTTTAATCTAAAGTCTGTAAAGATCCCGTCGGGCAAGGTTTTCAGTTTGTTGTTTTTCAAATCTAAGAGCTGAAGCGAGGTGCCGATTCCGTAGAAAGCGTCTACTTCCGTTAAGTTTATATTATTTTCAGATAAGAAGAGAGATAACACACGGGGAGCATCCACGAAAGACTTATTTAAAACCGTATTGAACGTGTTGTATCTTAAATCGATCATCGTAAGCTTGTTGAACTGAGACACTCCAGTTCCTGTCATATTCTTGATACCTTCAGAATCATGCAGGCATTCAGAGAATTGTAAAATAGTCAAATAATCGGAAATGTGTTCTAAAACGTTGAATTCGACGTGGAAATTTCCTCCACTGGACCGAAATTGAAAGATTGCTATTTTTGATCCCTTCAATGAATCCTTTCTGAGGTACCTTATTTTGGACTTTTCGATGGTTAGAGAGTTCAGGCTTTCAAAAGGTGTCCCTGAAAAGGCGGCTTCTCCCAATTCTGAAACATATTCAGAAGATATCGTCAACTCTCCCACATCTCTGGATAAACCACTCAGCCATCCTTCGCTGACTGTTTTTTCGGTAAAGGAAACGTCTTGTAACTGTAAGATAATTTCATCTACTGTGCAAGCCTGAAAATATGTCAAAAGTTACATTAATCAGTTCTGGTGATGAGATAAAATGTGCAATAGAAGCATGTGCCATAAGATTTAAAAAATTAATGAAAATAATGATATTGAATGTAGGATTTAGAGAAAGTGATTAGTTCCAACGTCAGACTTTGGGTGAATAATAGGACTCTCCTTTTGCCATTTTTCGTTTAGACACGTTTTTTCAAGATAAAGGGCATTGAATTTAAAATTTTCCCTATACAGGGTGTTTCAATTTGTTATAAGCATAGCAAAGATTTCATAAATAATATGATTTTAAAAACCTACCAATACCAAATCGTGTTTTTTACTTTTGAATATTCTCAGAATATTTTTTGTGTAATTTTAATTATTTGATAATTTGATTAGTTGATAATTTCAATGTTAAAATTTTGCCCTGATAAATAATAATGAAATTGGAATATTTCTCCTACATAAGAATAGTCTCACAAAAATTATAGTTTTTTTTATCAAAAAACTAACAACCCGCCCCCGCTTCGCACGGGCAAATATAAAATAGCCTATGTTACTCCGAGGAGATGTAGCTTTCGGTAAAATTGGTTGAGTAGTTTTTGAGTTAAATCGTAACAAACAAAAAATCAATCATCTTTCATCTAATGCGACCCTAATATTAATTTTAAAATAATTCATAATTCTATATACCTAAAGACAACAAACGAACTCAAAACTAAAAATGCAAAACCTTTAAATTTAAAACAATGTAGGTAACTAACAACAATGTGAAAACAAAACGAATTAAATTAAAGTACCTCTGTTAAGGACTATCAATTTTAATTAATAAGTAAGTAGTTAGGTATCTAAGTACCTAAAGAAAACAAACACGAAACAAAAATGCGACTATGAAGTTTTAAATGATTCACAATAAGTAAAAAACAAACAAATTATTAAAACTCAATGAAATAAAAGTATGTTTGCAAGTATCTATGTATGTTCCGACTACCTAAAGACAACAAATACAAAACAAAAATGTGACCTTAAAATATCGAACGCAATTATAACTTTCCAACAACACCCAGAAAGAAAACACAGTCGTCAGTCGTCACTTCCATTCGCTCCAAGTCAGTTTATTAAAAGATCGCGCGCGCGTTGTCGTTCGGCTTATTAACTAAACAGTAGGCAAGACGGTGCGAAGGGAGGGTCCGTGATCGCATCAAGAGAAGCGAGGCGCTTGAATTTTATTCTCGCGTCCATATATTTTTTTGCGATTACTCCTAAGATATTTTGATGACACCCTGTAGAATTAATCTAATCAATGAATCTAATAGAAAAATTAGTATTTGATTATACAGGGTGATTTTTAAGTTGAGTTAAATATTTTAACAGCATTTAGTACAACTACTTAAAATAAGAACTTTTTGAAACCCTATTTTTTTTTAAATAACTCCAGAATAAGGCAGCTACTTTATTCCATGATTGTAACCGAGCCTTACCAAGACTTTAAGCAAGTCTATCGCCTCCATATTCAAAACAAGCGGGACAGAAAATATTTATCACTTTCTCGTGAATGTTTTTCTTATCTTTTATCGTGTATTTTCACCGTGATTTTACATGCATACAAGTTGAATAATTTCGTTTATATTTACCTACGTTTATGACAATATTGACTTAACAGACATGTTAATAATCTATGAGGGGTGTCGTCAGAGTGCCAATGCTGCATTCCAGATGTACGCAAAATGGAATTGATAATTTTCGCAATACCCATGATAGTCTCCATGCTTATTGGCAAATAAATTTTCAAAATACAATTTTATCTTGCCAGATCGTTTAACGGATGAAAATTATATAGGATATTTGCAAAATTTTCTTCCTGCTCTTCCGCAAGAAGAGAAGAAGTCTGCACGTCAGAGAGAATAGGTATGTGATTATTACAAGACGTTGGGGGCCAGCCAAGTCACCGGATTTTAACCCTTGTGATTTTCTTATACATGTTTGTTTAATAATAATTAATTGTCATCATAGAAGAGGCTGTTAATACAATTAAGGGAAAACTTTGATCCTTGTTAATCTCCTGCACAGATTCTTGAGTTTACCGTTTTTGTTTTCGTTTCTGTTTCTTTCTCTATTTCAGTCTCTGCCTCTGTCTCTGGCCCTGTATCTGTTTCTGTATCAGTCTCTGTTTCTGTATATGCGTCTGTCTTTTTCTGTCTTGTTTGACATTGTTCATGTTTCTGTCGTTATTCCTGTTCTTGTTCTCGCCTTCGTTCTCTTTTTTTTGCAAAAATTACAATTGATTTTTTTTTCTTTTAACGAGTTTGACACGCTGTATAAATAATGACTCAACTTAGCAATCACCGTGTATTGACCAATATATTGTTGACGTTGTTGATAATAAGCAATAAATTATTTGATGAGAAGCAAAATAAAAGATATGATTAAATTATTTAAAAAAAATGATTGATTTAAAATAAAATCTGCTGAGCATATGTACCCACCGATAGGTTCAGCGAGTTAATAGAATCCACACCAAAATTTGTATTACAAGTAATAGTACATTTGTGATCACAGACGATGTCCAGGAAACAACCAGTTGAAGCGTCACCTTTGAAGTTTTCCAAGTTAGGGATTGTTGTCATATTTTCAAATTCTACCGTCGCAGTAACTTTCGATTCTACACTTTCTGTGGCACGTTTCTGACAAGTCTCCACTATAATTACTATGAGTGTAATGCAAAATAATAAAACTGCCGCAGCAGCAGCTACGAGCTTGCTTCTCTTCTTCAACCACAACAGCAGTCTCTTTATATGTCTGGAAATTGAAATTAATCAAGATAAAAGCATGGAAATTACACAGGATTATGTCATTAGAACCACAGAATTTCACAGTTCATGTGCTATTGTTTGTGACGTCAGTATTTTGGCACTACTGTTATTTAGCTCAATAATTTCGTCAACAGTTACAAGATTAATCTAGTTGTTGGGCAGAGAAAATAGTATTGAATTGACTAAATTTTACTCAATTACACACCCGATTGAGTGAATTTTTCACTCTATTACTATGAGTACAACAACTAAAATATTATGAGTGAAACTATTGCGACAGAAGTGAGTGAATTTTACTCAATCTCAGTTTCTGCTAACTATCAAGTGAGTGGCGTTTGACTCTATTCTGAGTGTATAAAAGCAATTAAGCCTGACTTTGTCTCTAAATTTAACTATTATTAAGTAATTTTTTACTCAGACTTGGTTTATATTCTCTTTAAATTTTAATTCAAGTATCATTGTATTAAAGTCCTAAACTACGGCACAGTGGTTTCCAGATAGATCTGTTTTAGAGACAATATTTTAGGTCTCGATTAAAAGAATTGGTTAAGTGATCGAAGGAATAGATTGCCATATCCTATATTGTACGTAGTAAGATAGGTGTAGCAATCTAACCAAATATTAAGGTGGCCATATCCCTGGCCGAGAAATGGTGAAATTTCTGGCATTTTTAGGTACCGAAATCTTGAAAAGTAAAACGTGCAGAACAAAAGTAAGCACAAAAATAAAATCCTTGATGTTTTGTTTATTCATTGTTACCATTTAAATTTACCCAAATAAAATAATAACTAAAAAAAGCGTTTGTAAAACAAGTATTTGCTGTTATCCTAACCCCACATTTTAAGAATTATTTTCACGTACTTATAAATAAAAGTAGATTTTGTAGATTTCAGTACCTAAAACCTTGATGGTTTTATCGTTTTTTGCACCTGTTTTTTCGTTTTACTGCGGCGTCTTTGAAAATACTCAGGTGGCATGACATAACATTCCTATTATTTGATAAGCTTTAGATTATTCAGTTATAAAATGTTTTAAATTATTTGTCTTTGCGGAAAACACTATTTAAAGAATATGGGGCCCTTAATCGAACCTCTTATTGTTTTTAATTATTGTAACCAAAATAACCGGATAAATGGGTACTTGTCCAGCATTAGACGCCATACACCACGCCATGAGATGACCTAATGTGGCGATGGGAATAGACAAAGACATCGCACGACAACCATAGGATGGGGTGGGGGTCACTCAATAATCATAATCTTAATCAAATACGACTTCATCTGGAGAATTTATTTATTTATTTGAGTGAAAATACTCAGTTCTAGTTCAAATATTATCACAATTGAGTAAAATGATCAAAATGCTCAATATTGAGTGAAAATGTACTCACACACGGATTTTTTTACAGTGTGGTTCATTTGTTTGGTCTTCTTAGAGAAAAATTTACATTGTGGTTGTGGTATTTGTCTATTCCACATGAATTTTCAATACTGTTACTGTTTTGTTGCTTTACCCATTGGCATATCTATCAAGACTGAAGTGATGTCAGTCTTGGTGGTAATAGTTCAACTCATATGATATTGTTATAGATATAAATGTTTTGAATTTGTTGTATTGTTGAATTATCTAAAACTCAAATATTTTATCGGAACCTTTAAAATTTGATAGACGTTTTAAATATTATAAATGTCATTTCCCTATAAATACGTTGGCCTTTGGTGTGTCATCGACGATTTCAAGGAAGAAAAACCTACAGGTATTTGTAGTAGTATAGCCACGGTTAGGATGAGCTTTTTGTTTACATTTTACGGAAAAAAGCACTCTTGATTTAAAGCTTTGTTTGTGTTTAAAATGAATGGAATGTTCAGAAAAGTAAAAAGTGTCATAAGATGTATGTTTATTCTTGCCCAACGCTTTGGTGTACTTCTACTCATTTAATTACTAATTTTCAATTTAGCTGATAGTAAAGATTAACTATACTTATCTTTATTACACTTTTCAGAAACTAAACTAAATATAGTTCGGCAATTTTTCTAGTAGTATTAAAATATCAGCTTATTCCGTACATATTAATTCTTGAGGGTATATTTAGAACAGGATTTGTCTTGTTTGCTAATATAACAGATATGTAACGATATTATCATAATTTAACGATAATGACATTCAAATTACCTGATAAAATGTGAAGTTTTAGCTCTCTTTCAATCATAATTAGAACATTTTTGCTTTGTCTATAAAAACACCATTTAACAATCGCTCTATGCAAATCGTATACGAAATATTTCCAATTCAAATCTGAACAGATCCTTTTGGTTATAAATAAAATGATTAAGATACACCTATTCATATAAATAAATAATAGATAGTTGTAGCACATTATGTGCAATTCAAACTAAATAAATCAATGATAAATAACGAGCAGCTAATACCTAACAAAATAGTACTTACCTTGATAGCGCCGAACGTTTTTCCATGGTATTTTGACAGAATTTAACGAGCAAACTGGTTTGCACGCACGAAAAGAGACATTGCAGACGCACACACAAAAACAGTAATATTGCAAATTAAGCCAGATGTCACGGATATAGATATCTCGTAATCCCGGTAAATTTTAATGACAATTTTCGCCTGATAACTTTTTCAGATACAAATCTGCAATATTTCGGGCTTTTGTATGGGAAAATCAATACGACAGCCATTGTTAACATCGTGTCTGCTCTTAATATTAACAGATTTAAGTGATACGCGACTGATAAACTTCAATGGGAGCTAGTTTCTCATTAGTTTCGCAATTATTAGATTAGATCCATCTATTAAATTTCTGGAAGAAAAAATATTGGAAGTACTCACTATATTTTATATTTATTACATACAGAGCTTTATTAACAATATTATGTAGGTATTAAAAATGTTGCTAAGCCGAAAAATATGCAAGGATCTAAATCAATGTCTGTATTTACCTAAGTTCTGAATTAACAAACTAATGTCTTAGTCTTAATGTATAAAGTAGCGTAGAAATAGATATATTTTTTATTTGCTTTGACATATTATAGTGATCAAAATATTCTGATGATTGTTTCCCCTTAGTACGAGTACAACTAAAATTTTATGAGTGAAACTATTGCAACGGAAGTGAGAATTTTACTCAAATCCGAGTGTCTGCTATCAAGTGAGTGAACTTTGACTCTATTCTGAGTATGTAAAACCAATTAAGAGGATTTTTCTCTAACATGAATATTGAGTAATTTTGTACTATGAAAACTTGATAAATCTTTAATGAAGAATAACATATTCTGAATGAATTGGAACAGCATTTGCAGAAAACGTTAAACTTGCGTAGGTTCGTTTATCAATACTCTGATCCTTTTCAAATAGAGCTGGTCGCAGATTTTATTTGATTACTGAATACAAGTAATCCGTTCCCGAGAAATACTGATTTTCTAACAAATACAGATTATCTGGAATTTGTGGGAGGAAGTCCCTGAATAGAATTAAATATAGCGCGATGATACGTAGTTAGCAGAACTTCATCCTATATTTTATTTATTAATGTTTGTTCTTAATTCCACTTCAAAGCGTTAGAATTTAATGAAATAATATTTTCTAATATACGACGAATAAAACTCAAAAATTCAATAGTTTTTACGAAGCAGCCTTCAGATTTCAAAATTACAGAGTAGTCTTTGATTTATTTTAATCAAATGATCCAAAATTTTATTGCAGATCCAACATTTGCGGTTTTTTAGAAATAAATTTTCGACCATGATTATTATATTTAAACTGTATTTCTTATAAAGTGTAAATTAGAAAAATAAAGTGACCCTTTTCAGTACCAATTCGTTTTCCAACATTTTTAGTAAGGAAGGAGGGCCATTTGTTTACTTCAATATCAAGAGAGTTAACGTTAAATTTTATGGAGATTTCAATTCAGCATAAAGAATTCTAGAGTCCTCTTCATATCCTAATGATTAATTTTTAACTATTTCTACTAGAACTGAAAGAAATAAATCTGTAGTAATTCCACTGCGATGTGTTGTCTTTTGTACCCCTTTGTATTCTTCAGGAAATGACGAAATATCTTTCTACATGTTGATTTTTGTTCAAGGTCACTAGAAATAAGATCAAGAAACGATTTCTTTGAAGATTTGCAAGATTTGAAGGTTCGTTTAATTATTTCAATCCGTTAGGTATACATTTTTCTTTAGTATTTCTTATTTCATATTGGAATTAATTCGAATTTTTGTAGCACTTAGGCAGAATCAGCATGACGTGGTGGACTGTAGGCATAAATATTTTTACCGAATTTGACATTTATAAGAATGTGATTATAACATCCATCAAATAAACAATATAAATTATTCGATGATGTTTTATAAATTACAGTGTGTTAAAAGTATAATAATTTTGCAATATCCATTAACAAAACTACAGTTGGTATTTGTATTTTGGTTTTAAAGAAACTTTGGTACCATAAAAAATTGCTTGGAATTCACTAAACGAAAGTAATATAGTATCGTTTAATATAAAAGTATAATTTTCATTTTATTCCATCATTTTAGTAAGAATTATGATAAACAATAATATTAAATTTCATAAAAAGTACAAAATTTTGTTAGTATTCGGCTTATAGGAAAGAGAGATCTTATTTGAATGACCATTGGTCTTGATGATGTCCCTGGCCATCCAAATCTGAAAGCGTGACAAGAAAGGGCGCGAAAGAAAACTTCGCATAGTAGTATCAGCATAAATATCTTAATTGAATATGATATTTATGTAGGTTGCTACATCCAGAAGCACTAAATATGTTGTTAATATATTATTGACACTGTACAACAGCCAACAAATAAATAATATAAATACCTTGATGATCTATTTATCTCAATAATGATATTTTAAATATGTACATATGTATCTAAAATACATTGTGTCAAAAAGGTGAGGCCATGTGGTAACCGCTGACAAAACTGTATCTGCTATTTGTCTCTTCATATTATAATAACTTCACGCAAAAACTGTTTAGAACTGGTTAACAAGAGTGCTGCAGTATGATTTAAAGGCTTGAAGAGAAAAGAGATCTTGTTTGAATGACTATTGGTTATAATGATGCCCCTGTTGATCCAAATTTGAATGAGGGTGGAAAAGGGGTGTGAAATGAAACAGCGAGTGGTAGTGTCAGCATAAATCTCTTTATTGATTTATGTAGGATGTTACATCCGCAAGCACTGACTATATTGTAAGTATATTGTGACAGTGCACAGCAGCCAACAAATAAATAATCTAAATATCTCGATGATCTATTTGTCTCAATAATGATGAAGTACTATATGTCTAAACTACATTGGGTCAAAAGATGTGGTAACATCACATGTGGTAACCGCTGACAAAACTGTATCTGCTATTTGTTTCTTGATATTATAATAACTTCACGGAAAAACTGTTTAGAACTCGCTAAAAAGAGGGATGCAGTATGATTTAAAGGCTTGTAAGGAAAAACGATCTTGTTTGAATGACTATTGGTTATAATGATGTTCCTGTTAATCCAAATTTGAATGAGCGTAGAAATGAGTGTGAAATGAAACGGCGTGTGGTAGTGTCAGAATAAATCTCTTTATTGTATTTGACATTTATGTAGGATGTTACATCCGCAAACACTGAATATGTTGTGAATATTGTGTGACAATGCACAATATCCAACAAATAAATAATATAAATATCTCGATGATCTACTTGTCCCAATAATGATGAAGTACTATATACATGTACATATATGTCTAAAATATATTGGGTCAAAAGGTGTGGCCATGTGGTAACCGTTGACAAAACTGTATCTGCTATTTGTCTTTTGATATTATAATAACTTCACGGAAAAACTGTTTAGAACTCGCTAACAAGAGGGATGCAGTATGATTTAAAGGCTAGTAGGGAAAAACGATCTTGTTTGAATGACTATTGGTTATGATGATGCCCCTGTTAATTCAAATTTGAATGAGCGTGGAAATAGGTGTGAAATGAAACAGCGCTGGGTAGTGTCAGCATAAATCTCTTTATTGAATTTGACATTTATGTAGAATGTTACAATTGGAAACACTGAATATATTCTGAATATATTATGACACAGTACACAACAGCCATCTTTATAATGAATACACAAGTACCTCGTTACCGAGTAGTGCGTTATACATAGTTACACATACACCTGATATGGTAAAATAGTAAAAAATGGGGTGGCGGGCGAGCTCTTCGCGTCCCCATGCGATAACGACCTGACACTAGAAATCTTAGAAAAATATTGTGCTTTTGCTTTGAGCATCCATAGGGACGCGAAGCTGTGCTCTGCCTCGGCCGGATATGTCTCGAAATGGTCTGGCCGGAGCCGGCGTTCGCGGCGGGCCCAAACATTGCCACAAAAATACTTCCATTTATCAATTGCACGACTCTGTCCGCTAGTCACTAACGAATATTACAAAATATCCTTGGGATATCTCAGTAACACGTATCGCAGATAGTCTAAAGATAATTTTATATATGATATGTTTAGTTTTTGGCTCTTCAGCCTGAAGTAGGTATTAGTAAAAAATATTGCTCTCTAATAATTTTTAAAACCTTTTTCTAATTAATTTTGATCCTTCATGCAAGTTTTCCAGTTCCGTGGTCGGTCTTTTTGTTATGGCAATGCAGACTGGGAAAAAGGTTTTAAACAATGGGATCTCTTCTGGTTTCTCAATACTAACCACTCTAGATACTAGTTTATTAGGTACGTGTAGAGCAAAAATTGCATGAAGTAGGTATCTTTTCCAATTTGGTGAACACACACAAGTGCATTGACAAATGCTTACCTCTAATTCTACGTCTATCGTATATACTCTTATAAATATAATTTTAACAATTAATGATATGGATATTGAAGCTCACATTTTCAGATAAATATATTTCATTTATAACTAACATGCACTTTTGGCTCCCGCCTATCTTACAAAAAATCCGATGCCTAAGGGATTCAAATCTCACATAAAATTCCATGGATACAAGCAACTCGTATGCGTAGAACTTTACTGTCTCGCAAGACTTGAACCTCTCGGAGTACCTTTTTCATAAAATAAGTTGTATTACAATTAATGCGGCACGATTGATATGATTTTTTTCCATCCACCTTGATATGTAGGCCAATTTTTGTCCCAAATGAAAATGAATTCGAGTCTGGCGTGCGATGTTCCCAACTCAACGTACTCGTAAAAAAATTGTAAGTTCCTTAAACACCTACAAATACAACTAGACATTCCGTAAACATCAAGATATATAGATAAAATACAGATATAGAGTAAACTGGGACACGTAAAGGTTAAGTGGTGGATTTCTATCATCCCCTGGTACACGAGTCTATTTCCTTTAGTTCAAGGAACGTTCTGATATGTATAAAACACCGCTTCGAACCCACCGGCCTTGGACTTTTGTCGCAAGAGACACAATCAGTTAGCCGAATGTTTAAAGCTATTATTTTTTTCAACAAACGTTCAAGTCCCGCAGGTCCAAAGGATACCATTCTATAAAAGACATCTAGATATAAGTTGTGTGAAGCAAACAAGCTCAACTAGAGTATAAGCAAAAGTACAAGCTCTAGTGTACTCGCAAAGAAGATTAAATCTATCAACTTTTAAATATAAAATTTCTCCTCGCTAAATATCTTTATACTCCTATATGTGTATACTCTAATTACAAATGAAAACTCACTAGTAAAACCCTAACGTTAAATATACCTAGCTAAAATGCATATGCTGACGGCCATCTGTGTCAGAAGACTGACTCGGTTGTTGGTGGAGCTGCTCATCTGTACGTTTCCGTACGACTTGATGACGCAGTTCATCTTCTCCAGAGGCAAGCTCTGCAGGCTGTATTCCCTATGCTCGTGCTGGATGGTGCACACCGTGCGCTTCTTCTGCATCATCTCGTCGTCCTTGTCCTTTAGCGTGCTAAGCCAGTTCTTGTACCACTGTAACTCACAATCGCAGACCAAAGGATTATCTAAACATAAAAATCAGTCATCAGCGACACAAGCGGAACCTCCTACTATACTAAGATTAAATCTATGCTAGTCTGGGATTGTATGGGGTTAGTGAAGGTAAGTAGTCAAAGCGAAATGACCCTGGCTTGGATATGAGGTCATGAAGGACATCAGGACAATGAGAAAACTGGAGCTCGATTGTTGACGGTGAGAGAATAGAATGCTCCCTGGGAAACGTTCCCTCATTTTGCTCTACTGCTGTTCTATCACAAAATTCATACTGTATTCTCGATACAAATAGTCCAAGCATTCTGTCGCGGATTAATGTTAAATTTGCAGAAATTATTACCTGGACAAAAAAATATGACCGTATAGAAAATTAAATTTTAAATCAAGTTTCTTGTTCTTTAAACTCGATCCAAAATGGCGAACATGGTTAAAAAAAATTTAAAATAACTAAAAAAATATAGCACTCGAAAAATTTTAAATGAGGAAGTTGTAGGTTTTAAAAAGATCTATCGACTAATTTTTTGTAAGTATCGATTGCTTTGTTACTTTTCGACATATATCGAAAAAAACGTTAAAAATCTTCTCTTTTTTCTTCTTCTATAACTCGTTTACATTTACGTTCCCATACTTGTTATTTACTGCAAGCATAGCCCGTGGCAAGCCAAAAAAGTACATTTTTGAAAAATTTAAAAATATTAATTATTTTTCGAGATATATCGATTTTTTAAAAAAAGGCGCTCTCGAAAATTGGCTAGATCTTCTCAGCGGATAGCCCTACAGTGACGATTTTTGGTTTATTTTCTTCGTAAAGAGTTATATTATCATGCTGTTAAAAAATGTTGACGATTTTATTAATTTTAAGGACCAAAAAATGACTGTAAAGTTGCACTTTTTTTGGGTGTTTTTTCAAATAACCATTTCAGTTTTTATTTTATGAAAATGACTTAAAGAAAGAAACTGCTAAAATTTTTTCACAAATTTGAAAAAAAAAATGTTTTTTACGACGTTCTGGAGCCGAGATAATTTTTTTATTTAAAATAAAATTGAGGACGCAATTAACATTTTACAGTGATGCACTTGATGGAGGTTAATATTGAATACTTATATTTTCAAAAAAAAAAGTAGGATATGTTTACTTGATTCTTAGTATTAGTAATTGAATAATAAACTGAAGCGTGCAAGCGCTGAGTGCGTCAGCTGGACCGAACGGAGAAGTAGGGGGAAGCGGCGCGCGCTCGCTCTGAAAACTGATGACGTGCAGTCTAAATGGCTCGCAATTGCAAAATCATTGATATCTCGGCTTTTGAACAAAACTTCTTTTGTACGTAAATGTTTAGTTTTTATTTAATTTACATTTTATTGCATTTATCGTCATTTTAATAATTAATAATATTACATTATTTTTCGTGTAATACCTTAATTTTATGCTTCATTAATCATACTGACGTTGTACTTGTTGCTGGCTTTTTAACAATTACTTCATCATTTCAATAATTAATTAATTTTGGTGTAAAATAAGTTTAAAGAATTTAATTTATTTACAAAAATATTTAATAATTATACAACTATGTATAAAATATCTATAAAATTATTACAATGAAAACTAACAGTATCCTATATAGATAAAATTATTTATCGAATTAAATTCTTCTTATCTTTGTCGGATTGTCTTTTGATTCATTCTCTTGTTCGTCGTCCATATTTTCGCGAAGAAGTATAATAAAAGTAAAAAAAAATATAAGTTAAAAACTAAACATTTACGGGACAATATTTTTTCTAAGGAGAAAATGACTATAATATTCGTGTTTATTTTTTATTTTTTTGAAAATACAAGTATTTAATATTAACCTCCATCAAGGGCATCGCTGTAAAATGTTAATTGCGTCCCCAATTTTTTTTTTAAATAAAAAAATTATCTCGGCTTCAGAAGGTAGTAAAAAAACATTTTTTTTTTCAAATTCGTGAAAAGATATCAGCAGTTTCTTTCTTTAAAAGTCGTGTTCATAAAATAAAAATTGAAATTGTTATTTGAAAAAAACATCCCCAAAAAAAGTGCAATTTTTTCAGTCATTTTTTGATCCTTAAAATTAATAAAATCGTCAACATTTTTTAACAGCATGATAATATAACTCTTTACGAAGAAAATAAACGGAAAATCGTCACTGTAGGGCTATCCGCTGAGAAGATCTAGCCAATTTTCGAGAGACTATATCGAAAAATAATTAATATTTTTAAATTTTTTAAAAAAATTACTTTTTTGGCTTGCCGCGGGCTATGCTTGCAGTAAATAGCAAGTATGGGAACGTAGATGTAAACGAGTTATAGAAGAAGAGAAAAGAGAAGATTATTAACGGTTTTTTCGATGTATCTCGAAAAGTATCAAAGCAATCGATACTTACTTACAAACAATCAGTCAATAGATCTTTTTAAAACCTACAACTTTTTCATTTAAAATTTTTCAATCGGTGCTATATATTTTTAGTTATTTTAGAAAAACCGTTTTTTGCAACTTTGCGATTTTTTTAAGCATGTTCGCCATTTTGAATCGAGTTTAAAGACCAAGAAACTCAATAAAAAATTTAATTTTCCATACGGTCATATTTTTTTTGTCCAGGTAATAATTTCTGCAAATTTAACATTAATCCGCGACAGAATGCTTGGACTATAAGTAAATAATTAGTAAGGGCAACAATAATAAAAGTTAATTAAAAATAATACCATCACATTTGATAATTTAGTTTAGTAAAATATATCTTTGATATAGAAGACAGTCCAATTTTTCTTTCATTAACGTCACCAGAAGAAACATATTTTAGATTTAGAGCCTAGATATGGATGATGAATTTATAAAAGCTGAAAACGTTACGGCAATTCCATAAAATCTAGAAAAGCGACACATAGTATTAAAAGTTATAAATCAGTATGGGGTGCCACCTTCAGAAGCCGTTTACAGGCGAAGCTCGCTGATATTCCAGATATTAGCCATTACGGCTCTTGAAGAACACTCCGAAGAACACGCAAATGATGATCCAATGCGCGAAGGATACACCGGAGAAACATTACAGGTCCCTGCCAGTGTTAAGGGGTGTATCGTAAAACAGAATGACTGCTTTATACTTACCCATGATATCAACAACTCTGAGAGTATCCAATATTGGCTCCATCACGTCCTCCGTAACGTGCATCAGCTTGTTGTTTTGCAAATTCAGGGTTTCCAAGGAGTTTAGGTTCTCGAATATGAGTCCGGATAAAGACCTTATGCTGAAATTAAACATATAAATAGATAATTTTAAAAAAATGCAGAAGCAATAAATAGGATTTTTAATACTGCTTTTCCCTTCTGAAAGTCGACTCTAACTTTTTTGGTAAAATAATATAATTACTCGCGAACCAACAAGTAGTTTCAATTTTGCAAACATAAAATTCCTCAAAAATTCGTTACAGTAAGGCATCAGAAAGATAAATACAAAAAAAAAGATAATAGGAGTATAACTGTTGTAGTGACACACCTACTCAAACATTGTAACAGTAAATAGATTGTATATTAATAGCAATATTTAACATTTTGACCTTGACTTCAAGTTTCAAGGTCAATCCAAGTTCAACTTGAAAATATTATACGTGGTACTCTATTTTTTTGACAGCTAGAGAATTGGGGGTCAAGCTCATTTCTCTCTGAATAACTCTGGAAGAAATGTTTCAAGCAAAATTTGTAGGATTTTGAATAAAATATTACATGTTGACCTGGTTGAATTTGACCATCACCACAGGTTGGAAGGTCAAACTAAGATCAACTTAATGTAAATGGAAAACGCTGTTTTTGTACCAGTAACCGATACAACCCCAAATTTTATGTAAGAATTTTTTGAAGGCCATACTAATTTTTTCACAAAAAATAATGGATGCAAAAGTAATGGAATTTAGTAGACGTAATATAACCTTGACAACGATTTTGAAATTCAACAAATTCAAGTTAATAATTAAAATTTGAAGATAAGGCCATTCTGAAAACTAATATCTAATCAGCTGTTACGTCAAATCCAAGATCACCATCTAATGTGTCATTCAAAATCCTACAAATTTTTCTTGAAACATTTTTATTGAATTATTCATAGAAAACTGAGTTTGATATTTAAGTGACTTACAAGGACAAATCGAAAAAATGTTCCGACCCCGATTTTGGACATTCGATTTCTGACAAAAACAATTAGTTAACCTTTGCTTGACCTTGAAACTTAAGATCAAGATCAAATCGGGATATCGGTTTTTTTATATCCTACAACATTTATCTGAACCCTTTTTTAAATAGGGCTCTATACAAAGATTTGGATCGTCAATCGCAGGATCTGGGTTTTTAGACACCCTGTATATTATATATTAATAGTAACACTTCATATAACAAATACAACATAAAACAACATATTCGTGTTTCCTCCACTCGCCAAAGATTATCAGGACGTCAAGTAATATATATCTGTTATAAAATCCATGTTAGTCCAGACGGTGTCTGTTTCAAAAAGTCCATAGTTGGGCGAATCGTATATTCACGGAGATTTTTGGCTTTTTGGCTTTTTGGCTTTCAAATATCACTAGAAATGAAAATTTTTCAATGCACATAAAAAAAACGTGGGCTTAACTTTTGGCGGAACAATATGTAGGTATCCTCAGTATAACTCACATAATAAAGGTGTAGATCCCTAGATCTGGGCGAAGTCCGGAACATTTTCAAAATTGCAAAAATGTTTAAAAACTTTTAAAAAAATACCTATTTTCTCTGAGTTTTTTACTTATATCTTGGAACCTATGCATTTTGGAGGAATATTGAAGCGGAAAAAAGTTTTAAAATTGAATTTTGTACAATATACTGTATGTTAAAAATGTTTAAATTTATTACCGATGTTGCATAATAGCAATAATTGATGAAAAACAGGCAAAATAATCAAGTTTTTTGGATAATTTTTTAAAATATTTTATTTGCTCGGAGGGCATTCTAATTTTGGTAAAAAAAACTTTAGAGTATAATAAAATAACACGCCACATTTCATTAAAATCGGTTAGTTTTCGCTAAATAATTTTTTGAAAAAAATAGAATATTCAAAATGTTGTACAACAATAAAGCATCTAGAAATTTGGAAATTTTTTTCACATAGAAAAGACCGCTCAACCTTTCAAATGGTTTTTGAAAAATTGAAATCGGTTGATTAGGACGGCAACAGTAAATTTTTAATGTTAATACTCTTTTTTTTATTTTTAAACATTTAGATTACATTTATCAATTTCCAATTTACTTTTTTTCAAAAATTATAATATAAAATAACATTTTTGCAATTTTGAAAATGTTCCGGACCTCGTCCAGATCTAGGGATCTACACATTCAATATGTGAGTTGTACTGAAGGCAACCCAGAAAAAATTTGCTTGCCCCCTCTCACATTCACCTCAAAACAAATCCGCCCTGGTCTAAATCATTATAAAACTATCGACGGTATCATCAAAGAAATAAAAACAATTTCAGATAGTTTTTCTCCATGATAGTATTGAAGTTACACTTCGAGTAAGTGGATTAACCACGTACAATACCCATTTGTGCTCTAATTTATCTCCATACAAGTGCATTTTTGGATCAAAATAAAAGATAATTATACTAAATAAATTTCCTGTCGGTAGTTTAAAGTTCAGTTATGAAAAGTTGTGGATTATCGCTTCTGATTTTCTCATCAAATAATCTATTTCTTAGAATTGTGGATGCTCCTTTTACTTTTCGTTGTAATTTTTCAGAATATTGTCGATTTGCTTCTCGCAGAAGAGACCTGGGAAACAACGCAATGGAAGAAAGACCCTCTGCTGAGAAATTGACATCAGTTGGAGTTTAAATGTTCTAGCTAACTAATGAGGTTTGCTAACTTTCTTTCATTCTAGCAAGGTGATCGGTGGAATTTTTGCTTCTGCTGCGGTTTTCGAAGTAATAGTCGCCTCAGTTTCTATTGAATTGGACTAATATTGTGGTTAGGTTAAGAAATTAAGATGTTTCATAGAAGTTGTGCAAGATGAAACGGGAAAATTATTACATTTTGGAGTGTACGATTTTGCAGGGATTAATTTGTTGTGAACTAAATCAAAATTAAGAAGAAGAATTAAGAACATAATTTTGCAAAAAGTTTTTAAAGGACGGAATTGTTATAAATGTGGATGAGCAATGATGGAAATTGAATGTAAATTAAGTTGTTAAACAAAGAAAAACTTAAGAACTTTATTTTTGAAGATGCGATTCAAAATTGAATCATTATATTTGTGCTTAAACTAATACACATTTTGCAAAAGAAGTGTTTTTTATATTCAAATATAATCCTGGATATTTATCCCTTTATATGAAAAACATTCTTAAGGTTAGATCAAATAATTGAGATATTATTTCCACAGACGTTGACGAAACAGATGAAGATAGTTTTATTTTGGAATTATTTGCGATATTTTAACAATCGAAAATACATTTTTCCCAGAAGGAGATTTGAAAGAATGGTAAATTATTTTTACTATTGCTCAAAAAAATTGTAGATGAAATCGACATCTATATTCTATACATCATTTTTTATCCCCAATTCTATCAAAAGTCATAGTCATCAAATTTGTTGCAAAACAGAGAGGCATTATTTACTGATATTGAGTTTCCCTTGGAGATCCCCGTATTTGTGCAAAAATAGGTATCTGTCAAATTTGCGTGCTCCCAAAACATTTGTAGGATAAAATACTCCGTTTTTTCCTTTTACATTCATATAATTATTACAATACTACCAGTAACATAATAGGGTTTTAATTCACCCCTGTAATACCTCCCGTCGACAGGTAATTAATGATAATTAAACAAAAACATTCTTATCAGCTAAAAATTTGTCCTTGAAAACGTATACCCAAGTATAATTAATTGACACAAAGAAGTGTTGCGTTTGAAGGAGAATTTTTATTGCGTTGTTAGAAAAGTTGTTACTGCTGTTGGAATAATACTACGTATTTTGACAGAACTTCTTTACATTATCAACGATTGGTTGTAAATTTGGAGATAATGGTTCCAAAATAATATGGAAAATGTTATCTTCCTTAACCTGACTAATTTTTATTCAAGGTATAACAAATTTAATTGTTTGAATTTAAAATAGGCAGTAGAAGAAAATATACACCGTCATCTCGACATTCCTGCAGAACTAATGTACTCAATTTATTATTTTTATTTAGAACCTACAAAACATGTATATTTATAAGCTTTCCATATTTTTGCATAGTTTTAAAATTGTACGAAGTTCAAAAAGCTCCTGGTTGCTTAGCATTCGCGATTTGTTTACTTACAACATTTCAATATTTAACTACCTTTACGGGTAAATATTTCATCATCTCATTTGGTTGGATAAAGTCAATAAGATGACATCTGAGACGCTGTATGCATCAACCGTGAAATTTATGTAAACAGACAAGGGTGTGCAAATGTATAAATTACCATTCCAGTATTAAAACTGAATTACAGCCCTGGGAATCTTTAACCATGAGAAGCCATTATGAATAACGTTTGATGTAAGGGGAAAGATGTACGAGATAGATCGATAGTTGCTTGGAACAGCAACATTGACGATGATGACGATTATGAAGATGATTTTTTTATTGAAGTTCCTATTCTAGTTGCTATACAGCTGCTTAGAAATGGAATTTCAGTTTTTTTATGTTAAAAACAATTGGATAAAATCTATGACCTGATGGTGGTGTTAACGATGATTATGATTATGACTTTGGTTGTTTGTATTTCCAGTTGTGACACAGCTTTCTATTTGGAAAACGAATTTCAGCACTTAAAAGTTGGAATATTTATGACAGTGATAATAATAATTATGATGACGATGATGATGATGTTTTTATGAATGGTGAACTTGGTTGCTGATTTGAATGTCATTATGACAACTATTCTGCTTTCAGTAAAACAATTAATACAAAAAAAAAAATGGGCAAAATCCATGATATAGATGATGATGATTATGGCGATGATGATGTCGATGATTCATGATTTGAATGCCGTTACGACACAGTATTTGCTCTTCTAATTTCTAGGTGCAATACAACTTTCTATTTGGAAAAAAATGTATTTTACACTCAAAAACTACAAGAACTGTCTAAAATCTATGGTGTAGATGTAGATGATGGTGATGATGCTGATTGATGAACAAATGATGGTGGTGAAGATGTTGATGATGACGGTAGTGGTGATGATGTTTTTGTGCGTGAAATGGTGAACTTTTTTGTTGTTTTGGTGTAAAATGCTTGTAGATTTGAGTGTCGTTACGGCAGAACCATCTTTGTTGTCTTTATTTTCAGGTGCAATGCAGCCTTCTGTTTGGAAAAATAATTTAAATATTACACAGTTAAAAACAAGAAAAACTGGTCAAAATCCATAACGTAGATAACAAAATATTAATGATGATGATGATGATGATGGTGCTGTTGTTGATGATTATTCTGTAAATGGTGAACTTGGTTGTTGATTTGAGTGTGGTTGTCACACAACTGTTGCTGTTTTAATTTCTAGTTACAACTTTATTTTAAAAAAGGGACTTCATAATTTACAGTTATGAAGAAAAAAAAAGGTGTATAGAACGACGATGATGATACTGATGTTGATATTTTCGTTGATTTGTGTCATTATTATATAACATTTACATTTACTATACAGACATATTTGACTGTGCATTACTATATTATATTTTTTTCTAGTTTCCAAATGGCTAGTAAGATTATATCAGATAGTTCATAGGCTTAAAACCTGGAAAAGTATGTGTAACACACCTGATGGAGGTACATCTGAGACAAGAGCATTTTGGAGTAACTTAAGCTTATTATAAACTAAGCTGCTTTAATATATTTTACATAAAACTAACAAACTTAATTAGAAGATTACTTCAAGCCTTATTATCGACCTTATTAGCTTGAATTGTTACGCGGTTATTATCGAAGTAAGTTGGTTCTTTATTAATTATTTTAAGCAATAAAACGTTTTAATAGTTTTCAAGGAATTTAAACTGGTTGCTATATTTTTGTGTCAAATCAGGAGTCAGTGTCTTTGCCGCAATAAATCACTACATTGAGAAAATATTTTTTTTCGAAACATTAGCAAAAAATATTTTTCCTCCTGTCACAGACACATTTTTCCGCATCCTCGGCTACACTCCTGCGTTACATCTGGCAATTATCCCTAAAATATGAGTAGACCATTATATTTGAAACAGCCCCAGCTTCACTTTGCTCTAGCACCTCGAGCACCACATAACCGCATTAAAACTCCGTAAGAGAGCAACAGGAGGGCCATTAAAACCGCAATCTCTCGAGCACCCTCCTCGAGCGGGCAAAGGAATCGCATACTTACTCGTTCTTTTGCAGGTTGAGGAATGTAATCGAGTCCCCGAATCCGGAAAAAGCGTCCTCCGCTATATATGAGATGTTGTTGGCTCTCAAGTCCAGATGACGGAGCCGGTGCAGCCGCTTTAACGCCTCCGTGGGGATGGTGTGGATGTTATTGTCGCCCAGTCGCAGGTACTGGAGGTTCTCTGGAATGGATACGAGCGATAAGACGGTCGTAAAAAAGCAGTTAGTGTTAAAAACGTTACGACGGATCCCTGGTAATATTAAGCAGCTTGGGCGTTATTGGAGATTAAATTTTGACGTTCTTGGCACCCCCACGTACATGTGATTATTTTTTTATAGCGCCCCTAGGTGTATACGTAGCCACTATTTAAAACAGAATACAAAAATGCATCGTCAAAGTATTCTTTTACTTTGAAAGAAAAGTTTGCAGCTGCGCCCGCGTATCAATACTTTGCGCCCACTTATTTGAACTTTTTCATTGATGCCATTTCCTGCAAGAGTTTTTAATAACAAAAGGGACTATACAAAAAGTTAATAAGTGTCTTGCCAGAGTAATTTGTTTTTGATATCACAATTTTTTTTATAATTTTCTATGGCGCCCATTGAATTTTCCTCAATCACATTTTGTAAAACAACAGAGTTTATATTAGATTTCATTTACTTTATTGGAATTAATAGTTTGCAACTGCGCCCTCAAATGAATATTTTGCGCCCACTTTTTTTTACTTTCTCATATATATCACTTATCCCTGAAAAATTTATATTAATAAAAATATAATGTATTCGTATACTAAGTTAATAAATATTTTATCAAAGTCAGTTTCTGTAATGATTTTTAAAGCGCCCCTTGAAATTTTATGAAACACTCACATTTTATAAAATTGAATACAAAAATGAAATGCGTTTTCAAATAATATTTATTTTATGTTGAAATATTATACTGCAGTTGCACCCCCGTATTGAAATTTGGTGCCCACTTTTTGGGACGCGCCTACTTTTTGGAACGCGACCATTTTTTGAGCTGCGCCCACAAATATATAAAGAAACAATGACTATGGTATCCATATGGTTTTGGGGTCGCTGAATCCGAAACCGGTGTCCGTTTGACACGATTAGCTCTGGTTTAAGGTCAGTTCAAGGTCAAATATAGAAAATCAATTGACAACAAACTAAACCTATGTATCTATACGTTTTTGGGGTCGCTAAATCCGAATCCGGTGTCCGATTGACGCGATTAGCTCTGGTTTAAGGTCAGTTCAAGGTCAAATGTAGAAAATCAATTGCCAACAAACTAAATCTACGTATCTATTGTTTTTGGAGTCGCCGAATCCGAATCCGGTGTTCGTTTGACTCGATCAGATCTGGTTTAAGTTCAGTTCAAGGTCAAATGTAAAGCCGTTTATGTTGTTCGTATTTGATCCTATGTAAGACTATCTTCAATATATGGCACTTTTGTTTCAATGTGCGTTAGGTTTATAACATCCATGTTTGAAGTGATTTATCCAACAATATCATTGGAGTAACCTAAGGAAAATTCTTCTTCGTTAGAAAAATATTCCTTATTTCTGTAGTGATAGTAAAAAACTTTCACATTTCCGGCTTGCTTAGTATTTTTTTAGCCATGATATTAGGAACTCTGCTCCATTCTCTGCCAGGCCCAAATCTCGAACATCATTTACTTTTTTGTGATATTGTTCTTGTCTTTTTCACAACGTGATATGGAATATATTCGTCATCACTAGAATCACTAGCAATATCAGTGATAGTTTCATTGCCACCCAAATTTCTCCCTTCTTTAACATCTTGCTGAAACCTTTCTCTCTGCTCAAACCCAATAAAGTTTTTCACTTAGGTTTAAAACCAAAATATTTAAATAAGTATCTTTCGTATGTTGATTGATCTATTTCTATTAGAAAGTATTTAATAGACCTGATCACTTCAAACGGACATCAGATTCGGATTCAACGACCCCCAAAACGTATAGATATGTAAGTTTACTTTGTTTTCAATTGATTCTCCAAATTTGACCTTGAACTGACCTCAACCCAGATCTGATTGAGTCAAACGGACATCAGATTCGGATTCGGCGACCCCAAAAACTTATGGATATGTAGATTTGCTTTGTTGACAATTGATTCTCTACATTTGACCTTGAACTGAACTTAAACCAGATCTGATCGAGTCAAACGGACACCGGATTCGGCGACTCCAAAAACGTGTAGATACATAGGTTTAGTTTATTGACAATTGATTTTGTATATATGACCTTGAACTGACCTTAAACCAGAGCTAATCGCGTCAAACGGACACTGGATTCGGATTCGGTGACCCCAAAAACAATACATGGGTTGAAAAATAGATACATAGGTTTAGGTTGTTGACAATTGATTTTCTACATTTGACCTTGAACTGACCTCAAACCAGAGCTAATCGTGTCGAACGGACACCGGATTCTGCAACCCCAAAACCATATGGATACCATAGTCTTGTCTTTCGGACCTGCCACTTTTTTTTGTGGGGCTGTGTAATTAATACTTAGTCTACTAAGGCAAAACAAATGAAACCTGACGAAGTTTATTTCATAACTGTCTCTTTTGTTTTGTTTTTACACTTTTTTATCACAGTAAGCAATACGAAATGTTGATATTTGCTTGAATATGCAGAAACTACAAAATTCGTACACCGAAAACGATATGCTAAGAGGTAAGCATCATATTATTGCTGATAAAAGGCAGTTTGAACATTCCTGTGCTACATAGGGTGGAATAAATGGAGAACAATTTACCCCTATTAAAGTTTATAGAAATTTTCTACAAGGAAACACACTAAAACTGTTGTTACACTATACTTCGACTAGACGAGCTTATCCCCTTTTATAACTTCAATGACCAATAAAAGTTTGTGTAAGGAAATCGATTTTCAATTCAGAATGGGGGAAGGGGAACACGAACTTCAAATTCGAATGTATTAGAATCTGTGTACGAATTAATGTATAAGGAAATAGGTGAAGTTAATGAGAGAGGCATTTAATTAATCATTGTCCTTAGGTCAAAAAACCGTTGCAATGCATTTGGTGATGGATTTGCTGAAAATGGAAAACGTTTCTTCATTTGAGGATCATATTTGTTTTTAGTTTTTTTGGTGTGCTTAACATTATGGCCTTCTATTCCAAGCTTGATATGATATACCAAATACGTTTTCGAATTTTTTCCATCCTCACTTCGAATCAATTGGTATAGGCAAGAGAATTAAATAATAATTCGCTTTACGATAAAGCATTGCTGGTTATTTAATTAATTTCAAAGTTAATTGAATTAACTTTTGGAACTACCCACATTGTCTTAACGAAGACAATAAAGTTGAAAGTTTCTACTGGATTCTATTCAGAGATAACTTTCTATTTCCTTTGCACCTATCAATAATAATAACGATAATATTAGGTTGGCCAGAATTCTAATAAACGTCAGAACTAATACGGATCTGTTTGGTTTTCAGATTGGAAAGAAATCTAAGTCTAAGTAAAAAAAAACTCACCTTCCAGTCCTGCGAAAGCCTCCGGGTCTATTTTATCAATGTTGTTGCCATCCAGTTCCAAAGAATTCAGCAAGCCAAGGTGAGAGAACACTCTGGGTGGGACCTGCCTCAGTTTGTTGTGGGCCAGACCCAAGGAGTCGAGAGTTCTCAGTCCTGGAAATAAATTATTTCTCTTGAAACTTCAGGATGTGCCCACTTTAATGAAAGTTCTGCGATTTATATTCTAATCCGCTAGAGAAAAGTATTTACCATCGGAACGTTATTTAAGTATCCAACTTGCAGAAATTATTATCATCTACCGTCTAATATACCCGCGCTAGATTTATTTGACTAGTTCTTTTATGTTTGAAGGGAAGAAACTTATGGCGGGGGCAGCATCAAGAGCCTTCAAAGATTTAAATATATTTCAATTCGTTAATCCAAATGTTAAATCTTAAATTGAAGTGCTTGAAGCTGTGTTTTTACCAAAATACTTTTGCGAGACAAAGAATAAATTTCAACATACCTTCGAAGTCTCCTTCTCTGATTTCGCTAATTCGATTTTCTTGCATCTCCAGCTTCTTCAAGGTGTCAAGAATTGACAGAGCCTTCTGGGGCACCGAAGTCAACCCGTTGCCACCCAAATTCAACCTTTTCAACTTCCTGGAATTGAAAGGAAATCAATCACTTATGCTCAATTTGACATTAACTTCCAAAGTATAACGTAGTTACAAACATCCTTTCCTTGTCTGTCTCTTTGAAACGTAAGAAAGTTGGTCAATAGTATTAGGAAAAAGAAGTTTGTTTTCTCTGTTGATAAATATGATTGATCTATAATTGGTCCATATATCCAACTGGATTGATATGTTCCACTGAAGCATTTTTTGTAAAAGCTTCTCGAAGATTATGGATATGTATCTCAATTATGAAGCAGAAGACTGTGTCAACTTATATCAATTATAGAGAGGCAGATCGAGTAGATCAAGTGTATTATGAGATAAATATGTTAAAATCTAAGACAAATACAATATTCGTAAACAATGTTTTAGCAATAAGATTTTTTTTTAGAATAATTGAAAATTGGCATATACAGGGTGGGCCACCAGTAACGCCTCGGTCGCTAGTGACCAAACGGCAAATGTTACAGAAACCTGTTTAGGTGGGTATGTGTAGGTTGATTACAGCTACATTTTAAAAATATTTTGAAATATACAGGGTGTCCAGGAAAAGCGTACCATATCAAAGTTATGTTTTTTTAAATGGAACACCCTGTATTTTACTGCATTTTTGAAAGCACCGTAAAAAAATAGGTGAACTTTATTAAAGGTTCTGCATACCTAGGACTTACAGTTTGTGAGATATTTCAATTTTAGTGAAAATGCAGGCATAGCGTAGAAATTTAATATTAGCAATAAAAAAATAATTTTAAGGAAGCAGCTTTGGAGGGTCTATTTTAGATCCTTGAAGTTATAAATTGTTATATTTGTCGTCACTTAGTATTATACAGGGTGTTCAAAAAACTGCTGAATACTTCTCTCAACTTTAAACAGCAATAACTTGGTTATTTTAAATGGAACACCCAGTATATTTTTACTTTGGGAGTTGGGAAATTTAAAACTCTTTCAAACTGTGTATAGGTTCCCTATACCTATCTCTAACGGTATTGGAGATATTTGTGCCGTTTCGTTTTTTATCGATTTTTTTTGTAAGATGTATCCACGTGTCTTTATCGAGGTCTTTACTGAATTGGTTTGGGTTCTTCTTGATGACGTCTCTTTAAATATATTGAGAAAAATGAGGATGCAATTAGATGGCGCACCTGCAAATTTTTCATATTCAGTGAGAAATTATTTAAATCGAAAATTTAGTAATAAATGGATAAGTAGGAATGGTGCATGTCAGTGGCCACGTAGGTGTCCAGACCTCACCGTAATGGACTTCTTTGTTGCGAGCTATATAAAAAATCTTGTATACAATGTTCCACCTATTACTTGCGATGATATTGGAGGGAAGGATTAGAGATGCATTTGCGTGAGAATATCATTTGAAGATAGAATAAGATGCTGTATTCAGGAGAATGGTTATCAATTCGAACATCAATTAAAATTTTTCTTTGTTTTTTCTAAAAGTAGAAGTTCCTTTTATCATTATCATGAAAATATTCAAAAAAGTTTTCTAATAAAAAATATTATTTTATAAGCAGAATAATTATAAAAAGTTATTAATTTTGTATAAATATGTTTGTAGTAAGTAACTGAATTATTTATGAACATGAAAAATATTTATTAAAGAAAATTTTACTTTTAGAAGAAACAAAGAAAAATTTTAATAGATGTTCGAATTGATAACCATTCTCTTGAATACAGCATCTTATTCTATCTTCAAATGATATTCTCACATTCCTTAGAATATTTGGGGTGATTGTGGCAAATGCATATCTAATCCTTTCCTTCATATCATCGCAAGTAGTAGGTGGAACACTGTGTACAAGATATATTTTTATACAGCCCGAAACAAAGAAGTCCATTACGAGAGGTTTGGACACCTGTGGTAGCCACTGACATGGACCATTCTTACCTACTCATTTATTACTTAATTATCGATTTATATAATTTCTCACTGAATATGAAAAATGTGCAGGTGCGCCATCTATTTGCATTCACATTTTTCTCCTTATATTTAAAGAGACGTCATCAAGAAGAACCCAAACCAATTCAGTAAAGACCTCGATAAAGACACGTGGATACATCTTACAAAAAAAATCGATAAAAAACGAAACGGCACAAATATCTCCAATACCGTTAGAGATAGGTATAGGGAACCTATACACAGTTTGAAAGAGTTTTAAATTTCCCAACTCCCAAAGTAAAAATATACTGGGTGTTCCATTTAAAATAACCAAGTTATTGCTGTTTAAAGTTGAGAGAAGTATTCAGCAGTTTTTTGAACACCCTGTATAATACTAAGTGACGACAAATATAACAATTTATAACTTCAAGGATCTAAAATAGACCCTCCAAAGCTGCTTCCTTAAAATTATTTTTTTATTGCTAATATTAAATTTCTACGCTAAGCCTGCATTTTCACTAAAATTGAAATATCTCACAAACAATAAGTCCTAGGTATGCAGAACCTTTGGTAAAATTCACCTATTTTTTTACGGTGCTTTCAAAAATGCATTAAAATACATGGTGTTCCATTTAAAAAAACATAACTTTGATATGGTACGCTTTTCCTGGGCACCCTGTATATTTCAAAATATTTTTAAAATGTAGCCGTAATCAACCTACACATACCCACCTAAACAGGTTTCTATAACATTTGCCGTTTGGTCACTAGCGACCGAGGCGTTACTGGTGGCCCTGTATACCTAACTTAGAATAACTACAACTCCTTGGGTCTTAAGTTTAGGCAAATAATTATTCAAATATTTAAAAATTTTCTAATTACTAAAATTTTTAAAATTATCAAAATATAAATATATGGAAAAAAGTCTTTGAGTAGAACAATTAAATGAAGAAATCTTTTGAGAACAATGAGAGTGTCATGGGAGAAGTCTGTGAAAAAGTGTGTAAAGGCTGTTACAAATTCGCTTCTCACTACAGGAATCTCGGAAACTGTAAGATATACGGATATACGATTTAAATGGGGGCAAAGTTGCATAATCAGGGGACCTCTAAAAAATCAAGGCTAACATGATTAGTTTTCGAAATATTTGAAAGAAAACGAAATTTTATAAATCCGTTTTTGTTTCATTTCAGCCTGGTTTGATGTGATATTGAAAAAAGAAACACTTTCTCATGGCAACTTTTTGCCCTCTATCGAATGGCATAATCAGTTTTCATATGTAACGTTTCATCTCGCCAATACCATCATCAACATCATTTTTTTAAATACGGCCCTGGAAATTTTATTTAATTTTAATTTTATTAAATTTATATTTATTTTTTGCAAACCTTTATGACCCCCAATACTGTACTGCCTCAGCCCGAACCAGCTTCAGACGTTTTATCTCGATAAATTCATCTTCAATGTGTTCGTTCCAAAATTATCTAAATTTTTTATTTAGATTTCTATGTAAAGACAAAAAGTTACATATGAAAATTTCGTTATTTTTCAAATATTTCAAAAACTAATCATGTTAGCCTTGATTTTTTAGACGCATAATATTAAGTCTCTGATTACGCAACTTTGCCCCCATTTAAGCTAGTTCGTATCTCTTACCTTTTCCGAGATCCCTGTAGTGAGAAGCGATTTGTAACAGCCTATAGATATACGTAAAATTTATAGGAATTATTGACTCTTGATGTTGTTAAATGTAAAATGTTCAATGAGTCATTAATTACTGTTTAATTAATATTAACGTACAAATTCTTTAAAAAAGAATTATTAAAGTCCGAAATTAATAACTTATCAACTCTTTAGATTTAACAGTTTCAAAAGTTAACAGTTACATCCGTACTCCATAACAGCGAACTTTAATTACCTTATTTATTAAAAAAAATCTTCATTTAATTGTCTTCATCTTCATTCGTAGTGTTTTTTCCATTCCCCATTTTTATAATTTTAAATTAGAAATTAATACACATTGGCAAATGGCTTTAAAAATTGATTGGTGTAAAACATTTTTTGTGAATTACTAAAACAAACTGCTTGTAGTATTCATTTAGATTTCATCATTATTTTTTGGTTCTATCCCAAATAAAACAAGTAATATTATAAAGAAAAATCCTTGTAATGCAAAAAACGTTTTTGTACACTTTAAGAATCTAATTGTTGTTATTGATTCTTCTAGAGTTAGTCTTACTTTTTCATGATTTGGTTGTTTTTCATTTCAAAAACAAACGATTTCTATTACCGTGTCACAGTCCATCATTGGCAAAATTCAGCAATTCCTCTCCTGATACTGACTTGATCACTGGGATATAATTATGCATAAAACAAACAGATTATGCGGAATATACAAAAAGAATATTCTTCAGTAAATTGTAAACTGTTCAGTCATTTGACATCTGAACTTGTGACGTCATATAGTAAAGTTTGCAAGCTTCCGTGACGGTTAAACTCAACTTAGAGATCCGATTTCTTACATTTCTAAAGTAAAATATAGAAATTCCTTTGACATTTCCATTAAATGGTTTCAAAAAGAAAATGTATGACTGCTGATTAAATTGAGATACAAAAGATGGTAAAAAAAGTAAGGAAAGTAGAATGAGGACACAAGAAATGTTATTTCTTGTTTTTTTTTTTTACTTAAAATCGACAGCTATTGATAGAAGCTTTAGAAAGTAGAACAAACTACTGCATTTCAATTTCTCCAGTAAAGTAAAATGTCACAGTTCCGAACAATGTCATTAAATCGACTCCGCCAGCTTCCAGCGAGATGAAAGAGAATATTCACCATTTAAACTGCGTGAAATTTTAATCGCCTCTTCTGGTGTCGGGCTGACGGACGCAAAAACACCGCTTAGTTCCACTGTAACAACTCAAAAGCGCCTTCCTGGCCTTGTCGAATTTAAAGGTCGATGATGATATGGTCGATAATCTATTATTAATGGCGGCAAAAACGTGTGTGGAAACGGTTTACATAGTCGAGTTTCCCGCCCACCTGTTCAGTTTCCATTTACATGGACTTCGCCGTTGGAAAGATCATGTACTACCAACGGCTAACACGACAATGGGATCGGATGGGGTTCCGAGAGTTCATTACGGTATCGACGTCGTGTAATTTGTCACAGCATTGTAAGGCACAGACGCGGAGAAGCACAACAACAAATAATATATGAAGTTAAATTGGGTCTCATTGAATTTGTAAGTAGTACTCAAATTAACCCGGGAAAAGATGTATGGGGTGTTGGAAAGCTTGGAAATTGTAGGGATGATAGTGGGGAACACATACACACAAAAAACAATGTCATGAAAATTCCCACAAAGTTGTGAATAAATTGTAGCAAACTTTCGTGATGTTTTTTTTTTTTAGAAATACCTTCAACACATCTAAAATTTAGTCAGAGGCATCCAAAATTGAGAGTATTGGGTATAAATATAGTTCCAATATTTCATTATAATCTTTTAATAGCCAAAAATTTGAAACTTTAAATATTTTAAAGTCAAAACATTATTTAAACAAGACAGATTACTTGGTCTTGGAAACAATGGAAATATTCTTCACCTGTAATCTTGAACAATTACGGGCATATCTGGAGAAAACAACTTCCAGGCACTTTTCAGCTCTACAAAAGACGTTTCTGAGTCTATGTTCAACAAAATACGCTTATTAAAACTTGGAACAAAAAAGGCCTGAACAACATAAAAAATCTAAAATTTGAGTCATTAGGGAAACTACAGCACGACAATAGATTTCTCGTTTCAAAAAGAAAATTTTGACACGAACGATTTAGACCGGGAGATATTAGACTGAAGTTCGATGACGCCTTTCTCGTTTATGCCTCTGAGAGTACTGAAAGGTAACCGAGAAACAAGTACAATAAACAAAATTTAAAAGATGGGCTGCGGGACACCTTTGTGAAAATTCAATTTTCCTTTAAAAAAAAATAATGTGTACAGCGACGTATTTCTCACTTATGCCAATTAGATTAGAAATATGACATATTATATTCATAAAAAACATTGGCATAAGTCCTACTAAGGACTAAAGAAAATAGGGCTTTAGAAAAGCTGCGGAAAATTTTTCGTTTTGGTCAACGTTTTTCTCGTGAATAAATTAAAGCTTATTGCAAAGAAAAAAGTGAAAGTATTCATTTTTTTAAAGGGCATAAGTCCCTGGTGAGGACTATATGCTAAAAAATTTTTGAAAAGTTGTAGGGAAATTCATGAAAATTGTTACGTCTTTCTCGCTTATGCCATTTATATATATGCCATATGCACGTAGGAAACTACATTATAAAGTCATATAAATGTAGGCATAAGTCCACATTGGATTTTCATGTTGTAAATTATTTTGAATTTTAATACGAGTCAGGTCGTCAAAGTAGAAAAAATAATAGAAAATTGCCACAATTTTCTCGTTTATGCCGTTTTGTACACGAGTAGAAAATATTATTAAAATCCATTTTCAGGAGTGGCATGAATGCCACAAGGTACCGTCGTATGTAAAAATGTTTAAAAAGTTTATTTCATCGCCTGCGCAATTTTCGAAATACTTATACTTACTTGCATTTAGCGTATTTTTAATTTTATAAATATAAGTAATTCATGCATTTAATGTAATTTAATTCTTAATAAACAATTTTTCTTTGCAGTAACGCATTTAAAGATATTGAAAAATTCGTTTGCCAAATGTACTCAACAAAAAAAATTGATTAAACCACCTTCAATATGTCGATGAAGCTCGACTTAAGTTATTTATGGAAGTAAATGAACACTTCAAAAAACAATTATTGAATTTTGATGCTTGTTCATTGCCCCCCTGTCGCACAGTGTGCTCATTTGAACAAAATTCTGCCGACAGTACAAGACTAAACCGATTTTCATGAAAATTTTTTTGCATGTTTCTTATACCTTGAAAAATTACCTATGGGTGTGATAAATTTAATTTGTGACCTTTTGATCTTGATGAAATTCGAATTCGTGGGACACCCAGACAATAAGAAATAACTTCACAGACATTTTGGACCATACAATGCTCACGAAAAATTATTCAAGTTCTTATTATCTTTGTCATGTAATTTTATTTTATTTTAAATTTTTTATTCCCTTCTATAGTTAGAAATATTCATTTTTTATATAGATATCTTCTCCGACACTTGCATTATTTATGATACATTTTTTAAATTAATTTAAGTATATATAGTATATAAAGTGGCTTTTAATAATATTTTCTACTCGTGTACCAAAATTAATTTACAACATGAAAATCCAATGTGGACTTATGCCTACATTTATATAACTTTATAATGTAGTTTCCTAAGTGCATGCAAAATGGCATAAGCCCGAAAGACGTAAAAATTTTCATGAATTTTCCTACAACTTTGGGACTTATGCCTTCATATTGGACCCACAAAGGAGTTATGCCTACTTGGCACAGTGCATTATTTATAGTAAGTAACATAAATTTTCAACGGCATAAATGAGAAAGTTATAGAATGAAAATACAAATTTTCCGCAGCTTTTCCAAAGCTCTATTTGCTTTAGTCCTTAGTAGGACGTATGCCAATGTTTGTTATGAGCTTTTCGAATATACCTAATAATATTTCTAATTGGCATTAATGAGAAATTGGTAGACAAGTAAAGATATTTTTCACATTTTTTACAAAGTTTTCCATTTTTAGGTTCCTTGCGACACTTAAGCCAACAAAAATTTGTGATGAAATCGATACTACTTTATTGTACTTGTTTCTCGGTTACCTTTCAGTACTCTCAGAGGCATAAACGAGGAAGACGTCGTCGAACTTCAGTCTAATATCCCCCAGTCCAATTCTTCACATACAAAAAGACCATATGACTAATAATAATGATGTCCATGCCACTCAACCTGGTAATTGGTGATAATGAACTGTGACCAGTCGACCATAGTATGACATTTGCATTACAATTTGCAGGCAAAGTTCGAAAATTAGGCGTTTGGATGCTACATGTATTAAGCGAAAACAAACAAACCACCATCAGTTAGCTCGTCAAAAACTGTTTTTTACCAGATTGCTACTCGTGACGAAAAATGGTGTCTTTAAGTCAACAAAAGAACAGAAAAGAATGGGTTTGCCCAAACAGAAAGGCGACTTCTATCTATAGCAAGAGCTAGTACGTATCCACTTTCTCTAGAACTACCTTTCAAATAATAACCTGTAGGAATCACCATTATTGACGACTGTCAGATCGTTGGAAAGCACCTATGTTTTGTTATATTAAAACATTAACGAAAAAAGCAGCCTTATGGATGTCTATTAATTAAATTCTTTTTGTATTAAAACCTAATATTTCTGTATAAGGATAGGCCACCCACAACTCATTAACAGACCTTCAAATAATCTTTCTTTATCATTTGATTCCTAGGTTGTGAAAAATGAAGAACAGCACTTTTATATTCCAGGAAGGGCAAAAGGTTCTTCTGAACACTTTCGTGTATAGAACTTTGAACTTAATGAATTAAAATGTGTCTGGCGAGAAACTATCAAACCATTTTGGAATAGTCCATAACTAATTGCAAATTAATTGAAATGACGATCCACTGACAAACAATACAGGGAAAGGCTGTTTACAAATTTAATCAATATATGTCCCTGAAGTCGGAAATGGAATCGGAAATTGTACTTCCCTCTATATAATGTGTTTTACCTTTTAACGACCTGTGAGATTAAAGATCAGGTTTGGAATGAAATGCAACTTTATGAGGTAAATATATGCAAAATCAAATTAACTTTAATATCCCTTGAATTTTTCATACTGTTTTCATACCAAAAGTACATTGCTAGATGACAATGCACAGGGTGATTTACTATATTTTGACCCCCACATTAACTTTTTTGTTTTATGAGTTATAAAAAAATGTGAAATACAAAAGTTGCACGATTTTTTTATGAAGTTTTTGAAAATGATAGTAGAAAAACAAATGAAGTCCAAACAAAATGGCCGCGGACGCTAACTTTGTTCATTTAAATGGAATACCATGTATTTTTTTACATATTTGGATAGAAGGTTCCCTGTCGAGCAAAGTCATATGCGGTTTGTAAAGCGAGATAATACTAAATAACGAAAAGAAGGTTTATTATTAAGAAAATAATACATCATGTAATTGTTAGACCTAGTCAAAATATAGTGAATCCCCCCTGCACCGTAACAAAAAGAATAGAAATAAATATGTTGCTTCATACACAACAATATTGTTACTTTAAGACAAAAGTCATATTTTCTATCTAACTATACTAGACAATACTGGTAGATATCTAAGGAACCTCAAGGACATATTTTAGGCCCTCCTTTATTTATTTCATACATAAATGACCTTAACAGTACACATTTTAATAGGATTCAGTGTTTCTTAATATCGGAATATAATTGCACTAAATAAAAATCAGAACTAAAAAGAGAAAGTATCATTGTATTTCACATTTTAAAAGCTATAGTCTATGTATTCTCTCCACAACATTAGAAAGTAACAGTTGCTTTTGAATGATAATATTTTTACAATAAAAATCCAATTATTCCTGTTGGATTGCGATATTATAACAAATCCACCGTTCGTATTATTACGACCTTTACTGAAAAGTGAAAAATTATCCGAGAACAGACAAAATTCGCACTTACTTGCCGAGACCCACGAACGCTTCAGGGTCGATATTATTTATCTTGTTTTCGTAGAGAGTGAGGATTTCGAGGGTGTCGAGTCCTTGGAAGGCTTTGGCATGTAGACTACTAATCTTGTTGTGATTCATATTCAAGATGAGGAGGTGGTGCAGGTTTCTGATGGCTGGAGACGGAACTTGCGTCAGGCTGTTCTGGGAGACGTCTAGCTGCGTTAGCATCTTACCTGGAAATTTATTTCAAAGCATTATTTCCCTGACAGGGTGTCGTCGCATTTTAAGATTATCTCCGAGACACTTAAGAAACCAGATTCGTACGTTTAACTTTATTCGTTCTTATTCCAATGACTGAATCGTAATTTTGTCTTTATCTAACACTCTTTATTGTAATTTCTTTGTTTATTAGAAATACAATCCAAGTTTAAAAAACGATAAAATATAAATAAATATAAAATCGAGATGTAGAAGATCTTAAGTACAAAACAATAGCAAACAGATAAACTGTATAATAAGATTTAGACCAATAAACATATTTTTTATTCAATTCTTTCATTCCATAAAGTGGGAGAAATATATATCAAGTCGAGCTTCATACTTTTGGTAATTGGAAATTATTTGGTATATACGAGACAATATTGATAAATTTGTATGAGGCATGATTAATTGTGATGCATTAAACATTTTTGCAATTTTGAAAATGTTCCGCACCTCGCCCAGATCTAGGGATCTACACTTTTATTATGTGAGTTGTAATAAAGGTAATCCAGAAAAAAATTGCTTGCCTCCTCTCATATCCACTTCAAAACAGATCCGCCCTGGTCTAAATATTGACTTTCGGTATAATCATAAGGAACTGGAAATTGATAGTATTTTCTTTTAAGCGAATTATCTGTGACATACTTAGCTACAGAAAAGCAGACGAAATGATGACGTGATTAGAGATTAAGGGAAATTCAGGTTACAAAAACTAAAAAATATCAAACTTAACTGAAAATAGAGAAAAACTTCTATGAAGATATCCTTAAACAAAAAGTGATATAGGTACAATGTTGCTAGGAAAAATACCATAATAACATTAAATTTTAGTTAAAATTTAAAATAAGGTAAAAATAAATATTAATATCGCATTTTGTTAAACAAAAATCATCAACTTTTCTTTTGACGAATAAGTTTATTGTAAAATTTTTTTGATGCCTTGCATAAAATAAAAAATATATTTTAAAGACACATGGTAGGAGTATATTAAAATTATTGAAAGAAAAATAACTTGAAAAACTAGTACGGGATATTTCGCCCTATGCAAACCTTTTACCCAATAATAATAATTTTAGTATAAAATTAGTCTAGTTTTATTACATGTTTAGTTGTGTAAATGTACATGTAAAAATTTTAAAAATGTGGCGTTAAATCAAGTCTTTGATGTACCTTTATATATTTTTTTAAAGTTTTATTTCTATAAAAATTTCTAAATCTCAATAGAAGAAATCTAAAACGACCCATCCGGTACAATAAAAAAGTTGTACTCGGTTTTTGTGATTTTTCTCAACTGCTCAACAGTTGTTGTAAAATAGCTAACAATACCCTTACATGTATTTTTACTTGGAAAGAGGCATGAACGTAATTTCTTGGCTTTCACATTCTGAAGTGGAAGAATATTGAGTTTTTGATGGAAGCAAAGCAATAACAGCGTTTTACAGAAAATAAACGAGTAGTGAGTGAGTTTTCTGGGGCTTACAACAGTACTTTATTATTTCTTAAATCACATTAAGTGTTCAGTTAAAAGCGGACAGAAAATTTAGAAGTCTCAGGTATAACGCGAACCTGAAAACCGTCAAAATTTATTGAGCTTCCTTTACGATTCTTCGTATCTAGGTCAATTAACAATTAACACATCGATTTTCTATCAGAAGTCTTCAAAATCGGTATTCACCCACATGTTTGCCTAAAGCGGAATAAAAGTCAAATCGATTTTCTACGGGTTTTGCGTAGCTCAAGGGTGGGTAAGGCCGGGGGGAAATAATTACAGGACGCCTGCTGAAATTCAAAACTACTGCGAAAAGTTGATTGGATTGATTCAATTTAGTTTGTATATAACAGATTAGTATTATTTTAATTATAAGTGGAAATATTATTCTTTGGATACCTTTGAGTCGACGATATAATACAAATATTTAAAAAGTATTCAATAGACTAAAATTTTACCATCCCTTTGAATTTCAGATTTATTCTGATTTGGAAATCTTAAAAAAAATGTTGTTTACATTTTTTATTCAACTCAACTCACCACTACAGGGTGTCCCATTAATATTGCGAAAAAATCATGGGGAGTTTCCATGACCAAAAATGAGTATGGCATGTACTTTTTCTACATTCAACTTGTTTTGTTTCAACTCCACCTTAACAAAGATGAAACTTTGTACTTTATAAAGAAAATCCTCTCTAATTGAAACAGTATGCATTATTATGCACAAATAAAACAACAAATACTTAGATTAATTAAAATATGTGTCTAATATACAAAATGCAAAATTAAAATGTTCTATTTTCTCAGAACAAACAGTGATACAACCCCTGCGAAATTCTGCTCATTTAACTCAGAGAACAAGCCTCGGGCGGAGTATTACTTCTTTTGTTCTATTTGCCTTTCCGCCAGTCCGTTTTATTTATTTTGGATCGGTGTACCCGTTTTCTGAAACAAAGGGCCTTAAACGCTGGTAATATGATAAATGTATCTTTTTAAAGCAGGTTCTCGTTATAACTTCTTTTATTCCTCATTCAATAACAGTAATTAAATTTTGCTCACATTTTGCGCCTACGTATATCATTTGTTGGAGTTCTCTATACGAATTTTCCAACCATTTTTCGTGAGTAATTGGATATAACTTTGAAAATACGATATAAGATGTTCTGTTTGTAAAGAAGTTATTGCTTGGGTTATTTTAGATTAAAAGGCGTTTATAATATTGTTTAAAGTTATTTATTTGTTGCACAGTTTTCGTTTTATTATTAATTTATTGAATATTTTGCCACCTATGAAGCCTAAACCTAAAAATTTAAACAATAATAATAATTAAATAAACAATTTTTTAAATGCGATATATAGCAATGAGATTTTTTGTATTTTGTATTTGTCTGCATTTTTAAGTGTGATTTTTGGTTATTTAAAGCTACATATTTTCACAAAAACAACCCCTGACTGATTCTTTAGGCGCAAAGATTTATTTCAATGATTTTTTAAGAAAAGAAAAACAACCCTTAATTATTATTTTAAACAAATGTTATTTCATATACCTCTAAGGGTGCAGCTTGAAGAAAATTATTCTAATGAACTTGGACCGTGAGGGTAATGCAGGTTTTATTTTCGTCACGCATATAAAAAAGGAATAAAAGCATTTTCCTGTGTTGTAAAGGTAATACGTTTTCTTGGAAGCGAAAACGAAGAACTCGTAAACAAGCTTTCATGTTGTTGCCTAAAACATGCGATAAAAACTAACAGGAAAGCGAAATTTATTAATAATGTCTGAATTGAACTTAGGTTTTACGTTTAGTAAGTATTTTTAACACTAAAAAGAAAAAAAATTGGTAAAAAAACATTTTATTTCATATTTGTTGAGAAGTCAATTACAGAGGGTGATTTTGCTTTAAATTTTGAGATTATAGGAGTGGATTTTTTTCCAAATTATAAATTTTTATAGTTACTAAGTATGTTACGTTTTTACATTTATATATTTTTTTCTCATTTGTTTTGATGGCACATTTTCGTAGTGATACAAGTAAAGCAGGTGGAAGTTGATTTTACCATTTGCCATTCTGCAAGGAACAATTTTTTGAAGCCATTCTTGATTGATGATATTTATTGATGATATCGCATAATATGATGTGTTTAAAATACACAAATTAATTATTATTAAAAGATATAAAGAAAAACACTTGCAAAGGGGAGTCGACAGCCAGATCTACCGTTTTAACAGAAAATGTTGTTGAAGTTATTCGTCAACAAATGGTGCAAAGTCCTAAGAAACCTGTTTCCCAGTTATTTACTCAAATAGGCACTGTGATAATCTTGATACAGTTTGAGTTATGCAAATTTTTTAACCGAAAGCTAAACTAAACATTTTACATAAACTTTTGAATACCTATTTTTAAATATTACCATTTCATCAGGATATAATTTTTGTTTTTCAAAATATCAAACCTTGTAGCCCTACTCTGGCTAATTTGTGTATTTAAAAGGAATAATTGCAAATATAATTATATTGACTATACAGGGTGATTCACAACTTATCCAAAAAAATTTGGGAATAGATGCGGCATGAGAAATGGAGTCAATATCGTAAAAAAAATTTTGTAAAATCCTTATAGTATCCGAGAAAAAAATTATTGAAGTTATAGTACATTCAACCATTCCATAGCTGGACAACTGTAGTCTCTAGCGTCATTAGCAATACGCGTGGAGAGCCACGTGGCCTCAGTGACTCCAAATACTGAAATCCATTTTACAATCGTCATGGCGATAGTATTTACCTGTTATCTGTGGTGTTTACAATAGTTTTTTAGTACTTAGTGTCAAAAATGGGTAGCTAGTGTCACAAATGGTTTGCGTGTATAGTAATTCGGAGTTGATGGATATCGTTTTAATTTATGGTGAAGCATTTGTGTTATGGTGAGGTGAATCAAGCCAATATTTGTGTTAGTTCGTAGAAATTGAGTAAGGCGGACCCAAATGTGTTTACACGTTGGTGGAGTGGATAAAATTTTGAACAATGTTGTTGTAACATCGGGTATGTCAAATGATTTTATTATTTAAAAACACAAATTAATTTTATTAATTAATAAAAGCAAAATCAGTTGAATTTGCCGATATAAAATAGGTGCGATAAAATTCTGTTTACATATTTCTTTCCTTGCGAAAGTTTTTGTCCGTTTTTATCACACCGCCATGTCGGTCGCATTGGACGAGGTCAGGTTTTACAGTGGACCAGTTTCCAGTGCCGTGCAGAAGTGTATTTTTAAATCATTTTCGGACAAAACTGTATTTGTAAGAGGCCCCTGTAAATCCAGAACTTTTTTTTAATAAGTTCTGAATCACCATGTATATCTAAAGGTCATTTTGAACACCTACTATAAATTTGAATGTAAGTTTTTATTAGCTAAGGAGGTAACTGATGTTTGTGTAAGTTCCTATTATAAAGCAAAATAATTTAAGTAAAATTGATATGTAATATTGAAAAAATTTAATAAATCTTTCATAACTGATATTTTTGTAGTTTTAACATAATTCTCAAATTTCTGAACGAAAGTGAATAACAAAATAACCCATTTTCATAAAACAAGCAAAAAATATTTTCTAGATTGAGATAAGAATTCAAAAAATCTTTGAGTAATATGATTGTTTTGTAAGTAAAACTGTAAAAAATTATTCAATTAAAAAAAGAAATATTTTTTTTTTCAGAATAAGGATCAGTTTTTGTAAAAAAAATATAATATGTACTGCACTGAACCATTCTCTACTTTGTCTTTAGGGAATTTTTAGGTAATCATAGCCTTTAGTGTAAATTTGGTTCCATAATAGTCGTGTCACGTAGCTTTTGATCATTCTTGAAGACCCTGTTTCTATTTTTTTGAGGCCGCAACTAAATTTCTCAAAACTTTAATCTTTGCCATTTTTTTCTAGTTCGAAGTACATTGCTCTATAAACTAAAACGCTAAAACTTCGAAAAAGTTAATCACTTTTGTGATATTCTAGGACTCTGTAAATAGATTTGAATTTGAATCTACTAATAAAACACCTTTACACCAAATTTACAGATGTCCATCGAACTCACCATTTTCTTCTACAATGATTTTTTAAGTTTCGCCAAATAAATATTTCGTTAACTACTTTTTTTTGTAACAGAAGAGAAGGAGAACTCGTTACTCAGCTTACCTATAGAAGTCAGCGAGGCTTCTTCTACTACCGACAAGCTACTGTTGTGAATGGTGAGGTGGCGGATGTCCAGACCGAGAAACACGAACCCGGGCAGTTTTCTCAGATTGTTGTGGCGCAGCTTGAGATAAAAGATGACCAGAGGCTTCCCCTTGAGCCCGGCCATGGCGTCGTTGATGTGTTGCTGGTCGGTCAGTTCGCACAGCACGTCTAGACCGTTTTTCTTCACCTGGCAGGTACAAGGCGCGATGTCTGTTCGCGGGGGACATTGCTGTTGCACCTGGAAAGAAATTTCCATCAATGATTGATATTTTAAGTGGAAAATCGATCTACACAGCTCCAAGAGATAAGAGCAGCAATAAAATAATTTTAGTAACTTATTATTGAAGCTTGACTAGATTCACCTTGTTCGGGAGTATCGCAGATGTGCAGTGGCAACGTTACCAGACTAGCATCGGAGCTCATGAACTTCGAATGGTGAACATTAGTATAGTGTGAGAAAAAGTTGTTTGAACTATGGAATTGAAATAACTTGTGAATCGTAAAGTTTTTGGAGAAATTGTACACAACGTATTTAAGTCTATGTATTAATTTGTTCAGGAAAAGTGCAAGGAAGAGTTGTACCTAAAGGGAGCTGGTATTAGTGAAAGTAAAGTGAAGCAACGGAAAAATATTTCAAATGATACTCGGTATAATAAATTTAAAACAATCGCTGAAGACAAATTGGGATGACTTCGATCCAAAAAAACTAGTTCAAAATTAGTCCGTTCAAGAAAAAACGGCACTATACTTTTCAAATTTTGTGCTATCATTAGCGACACATTATAAATATAACTGGCTCATATCACCAAAAAAAAAGCACTTTTAATACCTCCCACATCTTTGTGACGAAGTCTGGAATTTTTAATTTTTTTTTCTTAGTTTATGTCCGTACTATCTCCGTGGTAAACTATAATGAGGAAAAATCTACTAATATTCCTAAGACAGATTTCGTCGCAGGGTTAGTCGAAATTATTCTGTATTTTACACTCAAAAATCATAATTGGATCCAATTTCATTTTCGCATAGGAATCGATGGAGGGTAAAGTTACATGCCCCGATGTGTTATATAACTTGAACAAACCAATTTGCTCATGGAGCTCAGAAGTTTACAGACATCTAATGAGATGCCCTAAAAAGCAACTCCAATTTCGCGTTGTTTAATATTCCTGCAGTGCGTCTTATTTAGGTTAACAACATCTGCTGCGGAATTATGTCTTTAAGGTGCACCTACATATATACGAAATTACACGGAATTTTATCATAAATGTCGATACTGATAAATTGGTAATATATCCGTAAATAATTTCTGAAGCGGAAAATTTTGTAAAGTAAATAGCTTTGATGTAAGTACTTAAAAATAATATAACAAATGGTTCTTGAAATGTCGGGGTTTGAAGTTACCAGGTCGTATGAGTAGTTGCTAAAGAATAAATTACAGTGTAATTATTGAATCTCCTCAATGTGACCACTGCCTTATGTAATGCACAACTCAATCCTCTGTCGAAGCTGCCGTTCCCAGTTGTACTTCTCCATATTGTTTTTTACCTCATCAAACGCTGTATGAATCTTCTCAATGGGCTGGTCCTTGCAATTAGGTTTTCTCATTGAATAGCTAAGTGTCTTTACATGTTCCCAAATGAAAAAGTACAAAAAGGCCAAGCAATGGAACCTCTACGACCTCTGCGTCGATTTGGATACTTTTCATTAAGGAAATTAGTGACACCTCTTCCAAAATGCGACGGATCATCATCATGTAAAAAGAACATCGTCCTTATTATTTGAAGAGGAATGTCTTGAAGTAGTAGAGGTATATCGTTCTCTAAAAAAGCTCGGTAGATCTCGCTGTTCAAATTTCCGTGGAAGAATGTGGTCCGATAACTTCATTATTAATTATTCCTGGCCAACCGTTTACGGAGAATCTTCTCTGAAAATGGGTTTCTCGCACGAAGGCGACTTTGCAAGATTTCGAATAATGTCAAAATGAATTGATTAAGAAATGTAAAAAAAACTAATCTCTATTTTATAAACCAAAGAACTGTAGGAGCAGATAAAATGTTATACGCCACACAGCAGTTAAGTATAATTTACCAGTCTCAGACTCTATTGCCTGCCTTCGCTCCGCTCGGACGCAAAATCCTCCTCGACTGGTAAATAATATTTACCTCCTTTATGGTGTAAATAACTATTACATTTTATTCATTAAAAGCTCACTAAGATTCATTAAACTATGTAGTAGTTTGAAAGTTGCTTAATGAGAAAAGTTTTACTTTATTAATATGCCCTTAAAGACACTGATCATCATAAAGATGAATAAGTTTCAAGGTAATATAAACTGCAGTAAACCACCCAATTTCGCAAGAAAACTGTACAGAAAAATCTTTAACTACTAGGATATTCATTACAGCACCTCTTTTTCTTTAGTACCTAGAATCTAGTAAAACTTATATCACACTGTGGGCACTAGAAATCGGTATCCTCTTTCGACTAGAAATATTTTTCATGAAATTAAACCACCCTTAAAAGAGCAGGAAATTTATTTTTGTTCACTTAAAAATTGAATTTTTAATAGATATCTCTGAAAAGGCTATGTCAAATTACTTACATTGTTACTAACAAAAAAAGTGCAATCTTGCATACAATTTTAGCAACAAAATATACGTATACTTTTTTTTAAATTATTTCTTGCGTTTCTCCAAACCGCGTTGTTAATTTAAGTCAATATTGGTTATAGCAATTATTATAGGAGACACTATCGATTATACCAAATAATACAAACTCTGACGCACACGCACGAGTAAATTTGACTATTGTGTGTACCAAACAATACAGTATAGCCAAAATATAGATAAATTTAGTACACACGAATTGCTACACGTCGGCAAAACGTATTTATTTAACTCGTTTCTTGAGTAAACCCATACTATCTAGTTGGCTATTGTAACAAAATTAGTTCATTAATTGAGTGCGTAAATTGCGTTATAAAACTGGGAATTAATTATATTTTCTTATCAAAATGTGGCATCTGCTGACAGTAATAACGGTGCTAGTAATTTATTAAAATACACAGGTGTCAAGCCTATGAAAATATAGGTTTCTGGTCGAATATTTATTTTTTTCTAAAGTTCAGCTTAAAATATTAAATCATGTTTATACAGTCCGTACGATATTTGTTGAGATAGAATTCAATGAAAAGAATAAGCCAATAAAGTTCTGTTATCGGAAGTACTGTAACAATTTACCGGCTAGGGGCGTGCCTTGAAATTTTCCGCATTACTTTCAGACTATTAAAAAATATATATAAAGTAAGTAGATTTTTTTGGATTATAATGTGTTTTTATTTCTTTTACAGTACAGTGGACTACAAATCATAAACTAGAAAATAATACAATACTTATAAAAGCGCTTTTACAAAAAAGGAATAAACAAAGTAACCTACTACAGTCCGCCACGCCGCCATTGTCTTTCTACCTCGGGTGTCGAATGCGGTTAACTCCAAGAAAGTGACGAAAGGGTCTTCTTGGAATGCTACCTCAACAAATATCGTACGGACTGTACTAGTATGCTATGGACAGTGAGTTAAAACAAGTAATGAATACTAATGTTAATAATTGTTGAAAATGGTCACTTTCAGACTAAATACACGCTTCTGTTCTTCTTCATATCGAACACCGAACGCATTAAATGTCATTATTATTATACCAGTTATAATTCATTATAGTTGCCCTTGGCTAATGTTTTGAGATGCCGCAAAATAATGGTATGGAAATCAGGTCTGGTGATCTAGACGGCTAAGGTTGATATGATTGTTCAAAAGGTTAAATTTTTTTCTAAACGAACTAGGTACTTGCCAAAATGGCAATCAAAAGATAATTAATTATTAATTATTTTAACTCTACTTATATCAATAATTACCGTAACATTTTGTCGTTAAACGGTAGAGAGTCCTAGAAAATGTGTAAATAATGTAATGAAACATATGAAACACATTTTATTTGTAATATTAAACAGTATGGTATATTTTTTTATGAAAAAGGAGCCAAATATAAAAATCGACTTTCGGGACCAGAGGTCAGACCATATTTATTATTCGTTTCGGGTCGCTGAATCCGAATCAGCTCAGGATTTTTCATAACCTCAAAAAAAAAACGATATTCTGAACAATTAAACCATTTAACCTTAAGACTCAAGTTTCCAACGCCATATCCAATTAACCAAATCCCATAAACATTTAACCCAAAGTTATGGTTATGAATCGTAGGGTCTTGGGGGTTTTGGGGTTTGAGTGCATAGGTTTTTAAGAAATCCTCAACCACGTTAACGTTTAGCCATAATACAGATTGCCTATGATTTATTAGTTATGGGGTTATGAAGTTACAGGGTTATGGGGTTATAGGGTTATGGGAAATTTTTGGGTTTGAGTAATCGGATTTAGCGTTGGAAGCTTGAGTTTTAAGGTTATATGGTTTAATTGTTCGGAAGGTGATGGGGTTAAATGGACCTCGGATTCGGATTCAGTGACCCAAAAAACGTACACTAGATATGGTCTGATCCCTGGGTCCGAAAGCCGATTTTTGTGTGGCTGTGTTATTTACGAAAGTTTACGAATTTTTTTTTATTTTATACCTACCAACATAAAATCATATACCATATGATATACCTACAAATAATTTGTTAAAAAATTAGCCTCAAGCTGTTTAAAAATTAAAAATGCTGAATTCTTTTTTTTGTTTTTGGAAACCCCTTAGTTCGAAAATGACAGTCTTAGGAAGATATGTATGTTTATTTAATCAAATTACATAAATGCGTCCCTGGATTTTCTTCTTTTTTTATTTAGGAAACACCCAGTATAATAGTTTGCGGAACTGTGCAGCATATCTTGTGTTGGATACGGTGAATTTCGTTTAAAAGTTATAATGAAAACGTCGAAAGATTCGAAAGTAAGACGAATAGGTGCATTGGGGGAACAAGATTTATAGTAGATGTGCTACTTTTGGCTACTGCAATGCCTAAAATATTTTTTTACCTTTTCTAGAGACACGTGTTAAAGTGAAATTACTACTTTAGAAACAAAAATGATAACAGACTCGAGATAAAGATGTTAACGCATCTTTGGATTTATATCTTTGTATAAAGAAAAAGGTTAGTAAAAAATTTGTATTAGGTACTATTACCCCATGCAAGCATAAAATATTCTCACGAAACCCCTCGATTGTAAATATTTATTATTATTAAAATATG